TTTTAAAAAATAATTTCAATGAGCAGTGTGCAGATTCACTTATTATGTTGTTGAATTTAAAATACTTTACATGTATTAAGCTTAAACCTTAAAGTAATATACAAGAGGAAAAATAGAATGACTGGTATGGTGTATTTAAAGCTGTATAATACAAAACAATGGATGAAATAAATCAATATAAATATTTCACATCAAAATATATGAAATAAATGAACCAAACAGAATCGATGCAGTACCCTTGGATTAGATACCGGTAAGTATCATCAAGTTCATCCTTCTAAAAAGTTTGAATTGAATTGAATAGAAAGACGTTTTGTTGTTGTAATTATGTTGTAACAATATTGTAATGTTGTACTCAAAATTCGCCTAGACATGATCTTGCTGTAAATTATCTGCCATTAAGGCAACAGTATAGACAGTGAGACATGCACGGGAAGAATGTGCAATACACCGTGCATGAAAGGATAGAGTAGGCTCTATTTTATCATTGAAATGGGTTGGGTTTCTTTTAGGTGGTCTATGTGACTAATGCATGCCATCTGTTGGATGAGTGAAGTGGCTTTATAACATGCAAAAGATGATTCCATCATGTGACTGTAGACTACACCAACTATGTATGGTGTGAATTTAGCTACGTCCATTGATCTATCGCCTTCCAGACCTAGATGGCCTGTGCAGTAGAGTATTCAGTCAGTAGTCAGCAGTGAAGAATGTTGTACTAGCTGAATATAGACATGAACACTTAAAAGTCAAACAAGGCTTGATTTTTGCAAAATATTGATAGAAATGATATTTTAAGAGCTCTTGTTTCATTTATGATAGATCTTTTAAAAAGTAGTATTGTGGGCAAAGTCATCTTAGTACTCATCAATGATGATGATAATGGTTGTTTTAATTAACTGCTATTAAAGAAAGCAAACATGCTTGTGAGTAAGCAACCAGAGGACCAACAGCTTTAAGTCCTCTCAGAGGGACTTGGTAATAAGGATTAATGTCCTACCATAGGGCAAGAGTGCATCAACTTAGTTTTGAACCCAGGACCTCCCAATTAAGAGACCACTGCTATACCACTGAGCCATTACGCCCTACTCATCTTATCTACTTATGTTATGCACTTGTCTATGACTGACAATGAACGTTTGTTCTTTCATACAATGCATTCACATCTAATGAAGATGCTTTGATATTTGATACCTGCTCTGTAGGGATAAGTGATCAGTTTGAACGTTGACATTGATGCTGATTTTCATTCTACATGGCTGCTAAATAGTCCATTTCATACACACTAAAAAGAAGATCATATCAAAAGAGGAGAACCAAGGAATATTCCATTGGGTACTTCCATGGCCTTGGAAAATTTAAGGGTTCATTGTTTTTGATTAATTTCATGCTCCCTGACAATTACAGCATTCTTTTGAGTGAACTTTGATGCCAGAGTGCATACCACATTCATAATCCAGTGGTGTACCACAGTAAGCCGCTTCATGAGCACAGTTGTTCATTTTAACCACATTCACGTCAGACCACTCTCATAAACGCCAATCCCGCAAAGAGCTCTCATATTTAGCAAATAACAGTAATGTGGATGAAGGAAAGCTTGTAATAAGTATGCAACCACAGGATACTTTCATGTGTGTTCATTTAAAATCGTCCATGTTTCTTTCATGGAAGTTAACAAAATTGACTCATGTTTAGCCTGGGTGTAGTCTTTCAATCCACTTTTCACCTTTCATTCACCTTTGAAATATCATCATATCTCGTGGCTTTAGATTGAGATGAAGGATAATGTCGAACAGTCAATCTGGATCATACTCATTCAAATACATCCCCTTCCTTCTAAATTGACAATGAGAATAACTGCTTTCAAATATGTATGAAAATCATTCATTTATGAACTGCATAAACTAAATGTAAATATTAAGAAAGTGAAATATTCTTGAATGAATAAACTGCTGATAATTAACAAAAAAACTAAGAATAAATGGAACAAACAAAACAGCAACTTAGAGTAATATACAAAAGCAAGTTAAGAATGGACCACAGTTCATGTGATGTTAGATAATAGATGCCAATCAGCAATTGCACATTTCAATGACATCAACACAATTAACTCATTTTAGTCTTGGTGTTGTCACTTGTCATACATTTCACCCTCAACTGACCTATGATGTAGTGTCGTATCTCATGGCTTTATATAGATTGAGGTGGAGGTTTAACATCAAATAGACCATCTGAGATCATACTTATATAATACATCTTCTTCCTTCTAAATAGCTAACTTGAGAATAATTGAGATAAAAATATGTGTGTATGAAATAACATATTGATGAAGAAGCATTACAGTAATTGTAGGTAATATTAGACAAAGTAAAAGGCAAAATTATTCTCAAATGAATGAAGTACTGACAATACCAAAAAACAACAAGAGATGAACATAAACTAGTCAATGTCTATAGATGAAAGTAAGTTTGTAGTATTAAAGGGAAAGTCCACCCCCAAAATAAGTTTGTTTCGATAGAGGCAGAATAATAAGAAAATCAGGTGAGTGAAAGTTTGAGCAAATTCTGAATGAAAATAAGAAAGTTATGAATTATTGAAGTTGTGATCAATCAAATACAAATTGGCAACTCTGTGACTTATTATACGAGCTCTCCTTCATTTGCTTTGTGCATAATATTCCATAAAATCATGTTTTCTTCGTTATTGATGACGGAATATATATTTGTTCCTTGCAGGGGGAGTATAGAAACATATTTGCAATTATTATATTTAGGGTGCATGTATGGTTGAAATTTTTCTTGAGGGAAAATGAAAATTTTAGATTTTTTTAGTACTGAGCAAATGGAAGTTGATGAGCTCGCATGATACGTCATAGAGTTGCCAATTTGTGTTTGATTGATCACAACTTCAAAAATCCTAACTTCCTTATTTTTAATCGGAATTTGCTCAAACTTTCACTGACTTGTTTCTCTCATTTTTCTACTCCTATTAAAACTAACTTAATTTCAGGGTGGACTTCCCCTTTAACGAAGGGTGCACCAGTGTCTATGACAGTATAGCCATATTTTGTTTACTAATTTGTATGTTTTTTTTTACATGTATATTGAAAGACCCAAATAAATAATTCAAACAAAATAAAGATAATTAGAATGGTGATGATGATGATGATGATGATGATGATGATGTCCATGATGATGATGATGACGATGATGATGTCTATGATGATGATGGTAATGATAATTATAGTAATAAGTAAGCGGCCACAGAACTTTACTACCTACCAGGTCATTTTACATTCCAACAAAATTGACTCATGGTCGTCTGGGTGTGAGAGTACGTACAATCCACCTTTCACTCAATATCTGAATATAGTATCCTGGCTTTAGATTGAGGTGGAGCATGAAGGGTTTCACGTCAAACAACGAAGGATTGCATGATGCTTTGTTTCAGTGAAAAGGTTATCAGCTGTCTAATCCTACAGATGACACCTACCGTTCAAGAATGGTTGAGAAACCCCCTCTAGACATTAAAGGCCCAATCTAACCATCTAAAATGATAGGATACACACAAAGTTAGAAATAGAAAGTTAGAAATAGAAAACAAAACTAAACAAGAACTCTCACTAAATTCCATTTTGGAGAATGTGATATTTTAAAGAATTACTTCATACTTTACATTTTCTTTCTAGTTTTTGTTTTTCCAACCAAAAGAAAAAGTCAACTGTGAATGAGAAGGATTATTGTTTTACTTGATGCTTTCTGACATTGTACCATTTCCAACATTAAACAGAAGCTGAATACTACAATTCAACCATGAAACCAAAAAAAATAATTAAATAAGAGTATTTCATGCTCCCCCAAATTTTGCATCTGTATAAATGCTTGAAACAACTGCTGCATAGGAAGTGTTTGCTCCTGGGGTATTAGAAAGATAACCTTGCATAGAACAGTTCTGAGTAGGTCTGTTGAGTAGGCCCTATAAAGGATGTTGTTGTAACTTCCAGAATGTTATAGAGGCCTCAAGAATCCTAGGGATATATTGTGGAGGCCCGTTGAATCCAGTATTCCTGTACCCTTGAAGAGCCCAGATTAGTAAGAGATTACTAATCTCAAAGTAATAGCTACTGTATCTTGTACATTGCTCATTATAAGTATCATCGGTTTATAAATCAACTTCTTTCTTGGCTAATGATTTTTCTAATGACAAGCAAATGAGGGTACTTCAAAATTGAGTCAGAGCATGAAATATGACCTTAGGTGTTTTTATTATATCGGAAAAGGAAAGAGACAAAGACATACAAAGGAAAGCAGAGCTTACCTGCTGAATCTACATGACATGGTTTTATGATCTTCTTGAATGGTTACTATGTATGTTATATGAAAGCCATCTTGTCCTGTTTTAGAAGAAATGTTGTCATGGTTTTTGCTTTTTGATGAAAGATGGGAATAAAGATTTGTGATATGAGGTCTGAATGCCGTTGAACCAGGGTTATGTCCTGTGGATGTTGTCAAGGAATTGACAGCTTAAGTACAGACAGGATTTAGAATGAAGTGTAGAGTGTACATCAAATAGGCCCTCAGTTTATTTTTCATGTTTTTCTGTGGTTCATGAAGATAGTTGGACAATATTTAGACCTGAAGCGAGTCAAGTGACCATAGTGATTGGTAAAGTCATTTAAATTTGTGGAGACGTATGTCATCAATTTTATATCTGGATTCCCTTGTACTTCGCAAATCATGAAATTATCAATGCACTGTAGTAAACGTATTGAATTATTTCCTGCCAGAAATCAAAATCTTTGTTTATTCTCCAAAATCAAATAATCAAAATCAAATAAAAGTTGTTCTGAGAATTAAAAATTTCCATAAATTGATATGTCTCCAACTTGGACAAGGATCAGGACAAATTTTTAAGTATATTTTTGAAATAAGAATGGTTATGTTGTTTAAATTTTATTTTAAGTTATTAATCATATCTTTTTTGTATTCTCCTATTGACAGGTTCTACCACACCCCCTCAGAGACTAATCGCTCCTCCTGAAGTCATCATCATCCGACCCCAACCTCCATCATCATCATCTTCTCCATCACCAACGGTAACCAACAAAGATGAAGTTACGGTAGAAATTACCAACCTAGCAACCATCACTGCCATCACTACCTCAATCTTCACCACCTCACCATCATCCAGTGAAACACCGAGGAGCAACCCTTCATCACCAACCACCCCCACACCAACCGAGCTTCCATCCACCGATACGATTACCACGGAAACAGCCAACGATTCATCCAGAGCAATGACTTTCTTGTTGTACCCTATCCGGAGCACCTTGACCCCGCCCACGGTCAAACAGGAATCCACCTTCACCCCTACCAAGAATCCTAGATCCAAAGGAGGGCATCTTGGAGGCGGTGGTGGTGAGGCTGGGGTCACGCCCAAGAGACCCTCTGGTCACTTTGCAGTCTGTCCTCTCACCCACAAGTATTACTGTCTCAATGGAGGCAAGTGTACCTTCCTCAAGGCGGTGGAAACACCATCATGCGAGTAAGTTCTTCATTTAAATGTATTTTTTTATTCACTTTCTTTACAATGTTGTCTGTGGCAACCATTTGTCAATTCTTATTCCTTTTATTGTGTATTCATTATTGTGCACTGATATTCATTTTTCTTTAAAGAAAGCAGTACATGCAATATTCACATATAGAGAACAAATACTGTCTTTGACAATATTATTGGGTAAAATGTCAAAATCTGCACCTAGAATGTAGATCTGATATGCTATGACGTGACTTTGCTGATCCCCTATTTATAAGCCTGAAACTCTTTTCATGAAAGGAAAATGCCTTATGTTTTGAAATATTGAGGATATAGGTACATACCATTACCAAAGAAAACAAAACACAAGCAATCCAAGATAAAAACAAAACAAAGCACAAACAAAACAACAAACAAAAGAACCCTCAAATTTTTAAGATGCATTAGGAATCCATGGATCTGTTTTCATGAGGTAATGAATTTCTTCATCTTCCTGATGTGCCCCACCAACCTTCAAAGTAGCACAAGATCAGGGGCGCTGAGTCAAGACGGTCATTGTAATTGAGTCTTCTCATTCCAGACCAGTCTGTCTACACTAATAATTCTCAGCTCATTATACTCATTTACTAATCATGCTCTGTGTATTGAGATACAGACTGGGGGGGAGAATGACCTCCTTTTCTCATGGTATACCTGAAAGTGTCACATACAATAATGGTTACTAGAAAGGATATACCATTCTTGTTTTGTTTTTTAATAGCTGTAAGTACTAAACTAGTATAGAGCTGTCTTCAGAAAACATTTTAAAATATATTTCATTTTAGGGATATATCGTTCCAATGTCATACCAATCTTAAAGGATGGACACAAAGTTTTCAACTGCTATGGTCTTTTTTATTCATGAGAAGTTGTAAGATTTTAATTCTAATAATTTAATATAACCTTGTTTTTTATATGGTCGCTTAAAACAAATTTAATAACACAATTGAATGGAATAAAAGAAACATATGACATTTCACAAATAAGCAACAATCTAGATGTACTGTACATGTATATCTATACATGTATACCAGGGGCTTTATTTCTAAATAGCCTAAATGGCAATCACTTTGGCATTCGATCAGCCAGATTTGGAGCCAATTCAAACCAGATGATGCTATAGATGTATTCTCAATAGAATACCCTCTCCTCAATGTAATTACACTCCTACAACACAGCCTGTGGCTCCTATTTAAAGAATGATAATGGTAATAGACTAGATGATATAATTGAAATCAAATCAATGAAGAGGTTTCAACATAATTGAATTTCACACATAACCTCCCCTCAAGGAAGTAAGAATTAAACAATATCCTCAGGCGATTCATGGTATGCATGCCTTGCTTTAACCCTTACAGACCCACAAAGATAGCACTGAACCACAAAGTCTCTTGGTTACAGTTCAAAAGACGGTTCTGTGCGTGATTGCTCCTGAAATAGACCAGTTTAATATTATATTCAAATGTTATGCATAATTTCTAAACAAAGCTTGTCCAAGGCTTACCTGACATAGCAACAAATAATAAATGCAGACTGGATTCCAAGTATTGAAGTTCATTCTAATAACAGATTAATGGGTATACCTCATCACAAGGTCCCCAGGAAAGGAACATCCATACATTTGAAGATGTTAGTAAACAAGTCTATTCACCCAAAATAGCCTCCATGACAATAATATCTGCTTGGCATCATATGAGTAAAGCAGTGCTTGTCACTAACAGGCACTCGGAACATGTGGGCACCCCAAATCTCAGTCTGGGCCTAACATTTTGAAGACTTTCACAATTTCAATCTAGACCCCTAACTAAATAAGTTAGTGAGAGCCTGCATAAGGTCAAGGGACATTACAGACAAGTCCTTAAAAACAGTCCTTATTAACAAGTAGAAATTGGGTGTTTTTCATCATGATATAGGTAGTCAATGGGTTAAATGGATCCTATGGTTCAAATCTTGTCCCAGTGGGTTCACAACCCTGGGGAGATTAATCTCCTATTCATTCCCAGAGGCATGTACATGTGAGCTCTTTATTTCTACCAATGAAGATGTGTCTTTACTTGCGTGTCTCGCTCGAGGAAATTGAATTTATTCCAAGATACGGTGATTCCCAACATCCAAACCAGGCTGATGATCTGACATATAAACCCTACTACCTTCCTCCTCCCTTCCTGATCACTTGTGACCTTCTCATTTTACATATCATATATTGAGAGCGAGAAAGACATTAAAGCAGAACTGTACTACTTGTATCTACTTGCGCCCTCTATATAGCAAACAATGCCCATCGGTACCTGTTGGTCCTCCATGACCCCCTTTTTCTTATGTTAATTGAGAGATGATTTGATGAGATAACTATCTGTCAGTGACCACGCAGAGAGGTCTAATCCCTCCTGGCCAAACTAGTGCAGATAGGCTTTAAGTTAAATCTTTTTTACACAAATTAAATGCCCTTTTAGCTCTAAACATATCATCTGTTGGGTACAAGAAGGGCATTAATTCATGAACTTGAACACAGAGTTAACGCCCTTCTGACTCCGAACAGACAATATGATGTCTTGTGTTTACATTGCAATGGTATATATCTCTACCTGTCCTTTTATTCTATAAAATAAGAACCCTCTCCCCCCTCTTTTTCTTTCATGAAGAGGTTCAATGTATATAAAAAGTATCAGTTAAGTCTAGTCAAGTCATAGGATATTAGATTAATATTGTTTGTTCCTCCTACCGTACTCTTATGCCAGGAATTCTGAAGCTTTCCTTTGATGACAAAAGTTGATGACATCTGAAATATTTCCAAGTTATTCAGGAAGTCAGCTAAAAAGAGAATTCATAAACAATGAAGCAATTCATTTTTAGTTTGTTAGTAAGGTCTGCCAATGTTTAAAAATCTAGAATTCATGAACTGTTTTTAATAGAAATATCATATGTCTTTAAAACACTTCCAGGACTGTGTAGATCAATACAAAATATCAAACTTGGAAAGGTGTTGCTTTTTAGTGGATGGTGATTAACAAATCAAGGACTATAACATTGACCCTGTGGCAGATTACCTTTGTGTAAATGTATCACATCAAGGGCCATGCATTCTTGAAACCATTGAAATCATTGTCTAATATTGAAGATATCCTGATGACCTTGTGTGTCTCCTCTCATTATCTTCCTGACATCTTACACATGGAAAGCACTTGCCGAATCGTGCAAGACAGTTTAAGGAAATAATTCATTTGGCAAATAGCTTTGAATCAATTGTCTTTAAACACATTGTTAGATGTCTTACAAGTTTTTGTCCTCCTTCCTCTTGCAGCAATAGCTCCAAAGTCAATTTACTAATGCCTCAATATATTAAAGGGCAAGTCCACTCCAACAATAACTTATATTCAATAGAAGCAGAAAAGTCAGACAAACCAATTTCCAATTGTTCCATAGTTTTTCATACTTTTTCAAAAATTCATAACTTCTTTATTAGTTATCAGATTTTACTTCATTTTTTTTGCTCTGTTTCTCATATTTTTCTGCATCTATTAAAAGCAAATTATTTTTGGAGTGGACTTAGCCTTTAATCCTGTAACTAACTTATTAACCAACTGCACCTCAAGCTTTCTTCTTATATCTTTGACCAAAAAAAAGTGGAACAAAATTTTACCTGAACCAAACGTTGGATGACCTCCTTGTTTTGTTCTAATTTGTCATTGTTTTGTTTTTCTTCAGATGTCAAACTGGATTTGCTGGTCAGCGTTGTGAGTTTGCAGAAAAGCATATAACAAAAGGAGTTAATATGCAAAAAGTTACGGCAGTTTCAGCAGGAGTCTTAGCGCCTCTTTTTTTAGTACTGGTCATATCAACACTCCTTTGTTATTGGAAACGGTAAGGAAATATCTTAGAGCTTTGTTGAAAGAAGAGATCTATTTGCATTTATCTTTGAAGAATGATTTTTATCAGACAAATTATTAGCGGGAAGCTATAGGCATCACTGAAGAAATTAATCAAATTATTGTAATCAAATAGTATTGTTATTAAAGACTAACATAATTGTAAACTTTTTTGTTTATATGCTATTCATATCATCTATCTATCTATCTATCAGATGTTTGAAAGAATCATTCATTTATTTTCAAATGTATCAATCAATCAATCAATCAATCAATATGTCTATCAATCAATCAATATGTCTATCAATCAATCAATCAATCAATCAATATGTCTATCTATCAATTAATCAATCAATCAATATGTCTATCTATCAATCAATCAATATGTCTATCTATCAATCAATCAATCAATATGTCTATCTATCAATCAATCATTCAATCAATATGTCTATCTATCAATCAATCAATCAATCATTATGTCTATCTATCAATCAATCAATCAATATGTCTATCAATCAATCAATCAATCAATATGTCTATCTATCAATCAATCAATCAATCATTATGTCTATCTATCAATCAATCAATCAATCAATATGTCTATCTATCAATTAATCAATCAATCAATATGTATATCAATCAATCAATCAATATGTCTATCTATCAATCAATCAATCAATATGTCTATCTATCAATCAATCAATCAATCAATATGTCTATCTATCAATCAATCAATCAATATGTCTATCTATCAATCAATCAATCAATCAATATGTCTATCTATCAATCAATCAATCAATCGATCAATATGTCTATCTATCAATCAATCAATATGTCTATCTATCAATCAATCAATCAATCAATCTATCTATCTATCTATATGTCTGTCTATCTATCTTTTATATATTTATCTATCTATGTATCTATTTATCTTATCAGTCAGTAAATCATTTAATCTATATATTTACATGTATCTGTATAATTATATTTTGTTCTGTCTATCTAAACATGTATCTGTTCACTATCTTTTTATTCATCGTTCTATCCTCTAGAGCGAGATCAAAAGCCAGGAGTCAAGCATACAACATTGACTTTGTGATGAGTGCACCGCCGCCAAGAGGCAACGGATCACTCCCTAAGAAGACCAATATGAACGCAACTCTGGAGAGACTAGACAAGAACCATGGTCCTCTCATACCTACTATGTCACAGGTAAAACACGTTTACACATTTTTCTTGTAATACTACCGAATGAGAAATGGGTGCAATGTAGGTTGTAACAGATCTGGGGGGCGTTTCACAAAACTTGTCATCCGTGTCAAATGACAGTTTTTGTTATAAGCTACTGAAATCCTTGCTTCTGATTGGTTATCAACAGATTTGTCACTGATTTTTGTCATTTGTCATTGAAAAAAGGCTTTGTGAAACGGGCCCCAGACCTATTCACATACCCCTATGTTGACTGTATAATATAAGACCAATATGAATACAACCCTGGATAGACAATGAAGTACTATCTCTCTCTTTCTCTCTCCATTTCACTCACTCCCTCCTCCCCCTCTCTCTCTCTCTCTGTCTCTCTTTGTATGTCTCTCTCTCTCTCTCTCTCTCCCTCCCCCTCTCTCTCTATCTCTGTATCTTTACATATCTCTATCACTTTGTCTGTTTTTTGTGTGCTCTTCCTCTTTCCTTCCCATCCAGTCTCCCCTCTCTTCCTCCCCTCTCTCTTTATCTTTGCCCATCTTTTTCTCTTTCTGATACTTTTTCTTTTAACTGCATCCATCTTTCTCTCTTTCTGTGTCTCTCTTTCTCTCTTTCTGTGTCTCTCTTTCTCTCACTTAGTTGCCGATCCATTCATATATTTCCTCCATATCCATCCATGTGATATGGATGACAGCTTGTTAGAGCAGAAGAGATCCCATCTGGAGCTATTAATTAATTATATCCCTATTCCCTCTCCACATCATATCTAGCAGGTGTTAATTGAGTGGTTAACCAGTAAGTCATTAGGGGTTTAGCTGCTATATGTGCATCGTAATCTTTCCTAAAGCAGCAGTCTGGCATGGAAAGAGAAAAAGGTTCATATAATCAAATAATCACCATCAAGGCAGGCTAGATATAATCATTGTCCTGTGAAACCAGGTATACAAGTTACAAATGATCTCTGTGTTGGGCTTGAACATGTGTGAAATAGAGGGAACATTATTTTTCAGATCCAAAAGTCCATTATTGTTCAGTGGTAGATCAGTACACCTAGAGGTCCTGGTTTTGAAACCAAACCCTTTTGCCCTTTGGTTAGGCGTTACTCCTCATTACCAAGTCCATTGGAGAAGAATTTTAAAATGTTAGTCTCTTGGTTGTTCACTCACATGCAATTTGGGTAAAACAATCATCATGATCATCATTTTTATGGATAAAGCATTACACTTTTACATAATCAAGTAGGTGTTACTAGGGCAAGACAGATGAAACTGAGAAATATAATTTTTTGAAATGCTCTCCCTCACCTCTGTCTCACCAACAGTTTTGACTTTCGTTTGAATCCTTAGCCTCTCTTTCTGTTTTCCATTTTCTGTCACTTCAAATAGAATAGCTACCATAATCCCTGCCTGTTACCTCTGCTTCCAAGTCTTTCTGCCTGCACATCTTCCATACCATTTGTTATCCATTTTCCCCCTCTAAATTCTGTAAATCAATTGTGCTTGTGAAGGCATACAGGTACATGATTCTTTGCACCTCATTTATACCTAACACTCCTCTTTCTTGGAGTCTATACCTTCCTTCCCTACGCCCTTTCTATCAGTCACGATAATCGTCCCAATATTCCTCTTTTTTTTATCTCCCCACTAGATTGTTTTCCTTCTCTCCTTTCTAAGGAAAATCCCTCCCTCTCAACACCTGCTAATAATGCTCTAATTAAATATTAAATAGCTCCATCACTCAACCCTACCCAGAAGCTGCTACTAGAGTAAAAGAGTCATGTCATTCCAGACTCTTTAGCTGCTAAATCTTACGGGTAATTCCATCCTTCTACAGTACTTGTCTTCACATTATATAGATTTCAAATGAGGAGAATGTGGTTTCAATTCTATATGAGTCTGAAAAACAAGTGGTTAACATTTGTTTACTATGAATTACTGCACTGTATGGTAGAATCTGAAAATAGTTTTATTTGTTTGCTGTAGAAATGAGTAGAATGAAATAATTATGTCATTTTGAGCCTGAAAAGGAAAGGTGATTCCACTGAAACTAGGTCAATTTGATTATTTCGACAAGTATTCATCAAATACTTGTCAAACTCTGATCGCTGTTGTCATCTCTCTCTCTCTCTCTCTCTCTCTCTCTCTTTAAATCTACATGAATCCAATGACCGGGGTAATAGTATATTTGTATAGCGCTAAGAGACATTGTATTTAGCGCTATATAAAAGCGGAAAAATAAGCGCTATACAAAAGCGAAATATTATTATTATCTTCCGTCTTAGCAGATTATGAAATTTCAGATTTTTAGAGTGAAATTTGCAGTTTTCATAGTATATAGCACAAAAGTGTGCGTCTAAAATGCACTTTTTCCCCTTGTTGAACAGTACGGATCTATTAATATCACTTGTTTGGATGATACACAGTTAGTAAGAGCACAGGTGAGGAGGAGATAAGATCTAGGGTGTGGTTATGTTCTACGGGAGGGAAAGGGGAATACCTTCAAACTATTGAACTGGGTCACAGTGAGTGTGATAGGAGCTTAGGTGTTTGTCTGCAATGATTAAGTGGACTTGACCATTGACAGATAGAGACAATGACCGTTCACTTTTTGGTCTGTTGATGACTGGCCAATGACCAGCGTATGGCTAGTCCAGCTGTGATGTACAGTCAAGTCTATTTTAGGAAAGTGATGAACATGGACTATGCCAATAATTATCATGCAAAGTCTTTCTCACACCATCTGCCTGATAATGGTACATGTATGAAATTTATAAATGTATATCACAAAAGGGTGAGATATAAACAAGGAGGCGCGATTGCTCAGTGGTAGAGCAGTGCGGGTCTCGTATTACAGAGAGGTCCCTGGTTTAAAACCAAGTCAGTGCTCTTGTACCCTTTGGTAAGGCATAATTAATCCTCATTAGCAAGTCCCACTGAGAAGACTTACAGCTGTTGGTCCCCTAGTTGCTTACTTACAAGCATACACATGATTTCTTACCATTCAGGTGACACAACCATCAATCAAAATAGATTTGCTGTTAAGATGAGTGACAACATGACATTGAAATCTTCATGAATCAACATTTTTACAAACTTATCTCCCCCCCCCCTTTTTTTTTGTCACATGCAGGATGTATATGATTTCTGGAATACTCTCTCAGTGACATAGGTATTGATTGTTTTAGAGTATCGTAATGACAACAAAACTTACCTCAGGGGAGTGCTTCACAAAACTTGTCATCAGTGACAAATGACAGTTTTTGTTATAAGCTACTGAAATCCTTGCTTCTGATTGGTTATCAGCAGATTTGTCACTGGTTTTTGTCATTTGTCATTGAAAAAAAGCTTTGTGAAACAGGCCCCTGATCTCTAGAAAGCTTGAGGACCAGCTAATGATAGGAAAAACAATTCAGATTTTTACAAGGTCTTTGTGACAGTAGAGGAGCCCCATAAGACCTTGTCTGTTTAGCATTTGGAATCAAGGTCATTCTTTAAAGCTTATGATACTATCACTTACATTTGTTAGCAGACTTCACTGTCATCCCCAAATGATAATGAAATCAATGAACCATTTTAAAACAATGCTTTGTCTTATTTGTATCTTTACAGGGTTCCACACAGTCAGAGCCACCCACCAGATCACCACCCAAGCCACCAACCAGTCCACTCCAGAACTGTTACTCCGACCCTTCCAACCTGATCCTTCCCGGTGCTACCCTCCAGGCCATACCCAACACACACCACTACTACAAGGTACCCCGGAGCGGTGCGCCTGCTCCTAAACCCAAACCAAGCCTCAAACCCAATAACCTTCAGCTCTCCGTTGAGAATGCCCTACAGGCGCAGACCAAATCGAGCATCGGGCGCAACAAGTTTCAGTCCGTGGAGAAGAACAAGTCAAAGACACTCGATACGGCGTACCTGACACCGAAGGAGATCATGTCTGAGGAACCAGAGACTCAGAGAGTATCAGCTTACATTGATGTCAATGACTCGAGGAGCTTCCTCCCCGCTAAGACGTTTCTAAGCATCAAGAACAAGCTCAGCAGGAGGATTGAGAACGTTTATGTGAACATGCCCAAAACGTCGACGGGAAACAACGTCAAATGATGTCAGACGAATGACCCTGAGGCTAGTCTGATCATCTTTGAGACACTATTTCCTGCAGTGTGAAAAAAGAGATATACCGAGCAATGAAATGGAACTGTGAGAAAAGGCATGTTCGTGTGATAGACAAACCAAATGTGTTCCGACTCGTTGAGTTGACGTTTGAACATATCTAGAGCTATTGGACAGATTGAACACTGAATATGAACAATGTGAAAGATGAAATACTTGAGGTTGATCGTATGTGCAGGAGAAAGTCAAATATCTCTTTGTACAAATAGAGAGACAGAGAGAAGAACAGCTTGGAGCTGGGAAGTGCTAGATATGCCACTATATCATTACATAATAATTGAGATAGTTGGCATTGCTAATCACTGGTTCATATGAACTTATAAGTAAAATTAATCCATTTTTATATAGGTGTAAGAAAACACTTTCCCTTCTAATATCCTTGTCCTACAAATCTCTCTCACATCAAATTAGGATCCATGGTCAAATGAGAGTGTCTGTAAATTGGAATACATGTATCTTTTTTAAATTTGTTTCTTCTCCTTAGTACAGTGTACTTCATGATCAGAAAATTTGAGGTCAAGTGCTCACCGTGATGACATATTGACTATGTTGTTCACCAATGAATGAGGTATTGTTTGTGATTGCTCTTTCTGGTGCTAATGGTTAGAATTTAAATATGATATACATGAACATGCAGCAGACAGTCTTTGAAGTATGTAATTTACTGAGACAGCTAGATTATGCTGTGAGACAGGGATGCCAGTTAGAATTGATCAGAGGGCCTGAAAATCACCTAGAATGAGCTATTTTGTACACAAAAAAGCCTTAACTATGGCCTGAAAATAACTCACCAGGGCCTGAATTCAGGCTTTTGCCTGAAAACTGACATCCCTGTTTGAGAGCTAGGCATTGGCAATATCTGAATCATGCTGTTCCTTCTTCTTCTTCTTCTTCTGGTAATCTTCAAAGGGCTATGCAGCCTATCATGAAGATGAGTTAAAGATTATAAGTGGTGTGAGGAAGACAACTTTGTTTTATTGGGATAACGACATTGGATGCCTCAGGAGTAGTCTCTGGAAGTTTTCTGGACTGTCAGATCAGTGTGCACTACATTTGCTTCATACCTTCTGGTTGGTCAGGATAACTGCAACGGCATCCTGCACTGTCTTAAATTTTGTTAGAGTTTGTGAAGGTAGTACAGTCAAACCTGCTTTAGTGACCACCTGTCTATAAAGACCACATGTTTTGTTTCCCTTGAAAATTGTTTTTCATTGAAACATGTACTAAAGGAACCTGTCTACAAAGACCACCTGTCTTCAAAGACCACTTCTTGTGTTTCCCTTGGGTGGTCGCTATAGACAGGTTTGACTTTATTTAGATCTGGCATACATGTACATGTACAATGCGGTTTCTATTTCAGGAAGTCTTTTGTAATTTTACTTCACTGAAACCAGGTGGACCACATACGTTGGTTAGGTCTTGCGCAAGGTTCAGTTGAAATGATATCAATGTATGATTATAACCTCCAAATTCACAGGGTATTGAAATTCAGTGCTGAAGTATATTCTTTGTTAATAGAGAGTTCGTTACATTATTTAACCAATACATGTAGTAATACTAGGTGTCAGACCACTTGAAACCACAATGGATACCGGTATGTAAAGTACGGTATCAATCTTTATTTGATGATATGGTATAAAGACTTGTACATTCACACGCATTTACACTACTAACATGCAATATGACAAATTATATGTGTTTAACCGTCATCATAAGACCTTTGTTAAATACTTATCAAATATGTGGCTTGACTGATATTGTGAAATACTCAAATATTGTCATTGTCCCATTGGTTAATGAGAATATATAATGCCCTATGATCTTTATCATCTGGCTGAATTTCGTAGTTTGTTTCAAAATTATTTTAAAATGATACATACATGCAAGTTTCTAATGATATTGATAAAATAATGTTTGTATGTGGCCCAGTTCAACTCAGAATGGGTTGTTGAAGTGCTGATAAGGACATTTAGCTAATAGAAATATATTTTTAATTTTCATCTTAATATAATTAAGATCAATTTGGCCTTATAATTCATAGGTCACTTTGGATACCATTGTCATGGCAGAATGTGTACACAAATTTGAACATTTAAAGATTAATACTGTTACTATTCTTATTTAAACCTAAAATTATCTAAAAATACAAGCACTTGTATCATATGGTCTGTGTTCTAAAGGCTTTTTTGACATCTAATCTGTACAAGATATGTAAATAGTTTGTATATTTCTTTTGACGGTGTGACTGCGGTGCTTCCTGTACTGTGTACCCTAAGAACACTCATTGTATATTATAATGTCAGAATGTGTATATGGAAACTTTAGATGACCTATTTATCATCATTTTCTATCTTCTGGTTGTTTGCTGCTATGCCAGAAAGAGAGAGCAAAGAACAGAGCTTAATCTTTCCTTTACACAAAGGCAAATAAAATGGCTTCATTTTGAGTCTGTTATTTAAAGCCCCACTGCACTAGTTTGGCCAGGAGGGAATAGACCTCCCTGCATGGTCACTGGGACGTGTGGTTATCTCATCAAATCAGCTCTCAATTAACATAAGAAAAGGGGGATCATGGTGGACCAACAGGCACCGATTAGGCATTGTTTACTATATAGAGGGCGCAAGTAGCTACAAGGAGTGCAGTGGGGCTTTAAAAGAAAGTTTTTTCTTCTTGAGGGTACAGTTGCTTGATAAATGTTCATGAAGCTTCAATATCAAGAAGCTGTCTGTACAGAGCCAAAAGGGGAATTAACTCCTATAACTTATGCATGGAGTAAATGCCCTTCTTGCTGTCGATCAATAGATGCTACTTTCTTTATAACTGTTTGTTGCCCGTCACAGTATTGATCGGAACTTCTTAAACAAATTATATTCATAGGTCTCTATATTATCAATTTATCATAGCTTCACTGATATGCTCTGTAGAATATATTACTACCAGATTTGAATATACATACATGTATATATAAATATATGATTTCCCAAATCACATAATCTTTATCAGTTACTCCATCAAATTTTATTAGATGGATATTATATTATACCGTAAATGCCTAACAAACTACCGAAATATATCCTGTACTCCAAATGATTATACCAACCGACAGTATCATTATTTTTCCATTAATCAATATAACTCGGCTCTGCATAGATTGTGTATATTTTAATTGAAGTGTGATCTTGTTTTCGCATTATGCTTCTTTGTTTGGCAAACTAATAAAATATGTATCTACTTCATATTCATTGTGTGAAATTTGTATTTTCTTCAGCCAATTTCTCATGCTATCCCCCTCTCTTTTTCTCTCACCCCCCCCCCCCCCTTGTCCCTCTCTCTTACCCTTTCTCTCATATTAAAAAAAAAAAATATTTTGTATTATTTTCTCTCATATCAAATACATATTGTACAAATCATTCACACACACATACACACAAACACTCTCATTTTTCTCAATCTCCCTAACACACTTTTATTATTGTCCTTTATAATTCTTTCCTCAAATACAATTTCGTCCCCCCCCCCCCTCTCCCTATCTCTCTGTATAATACAAACTTTAAAACAATGCAGTATTCATGCAAGCGTAATGACAATATTAACTTCAGTGCTATAAATCTGGGTCAATATTCATAAAACCTTCCTACATGTAAATATAAGCTACTTGCATACAAATTCCTGCTTGTGAGATTTGGTTGACCACCAGCTTAGGAAGGTTTGATGAAAATGGGCTCAGATATTTTGTAATTGGTGACTCTCTTGTAACATTGGCCACATCATCAAACACTCAGTTCTCTTACAAATTGATTTGTCATAAGAACAAATAGTAAACATACCATGTAGATCACTGAATGTGGGGTACTATAACATATAGTTTTATTGAAGATAAAATAACTTGGGTAAAGCAAGCAGATCTGAATAAGCACACTTAAGGTAATAAGTACATTTCAATTATTTTCTGAAAGAACATGGGTAATTCGAAGGCACAGTCAAGTTCTGTTTTCAAAGCTCACTGAAATTTCCAATTTATCAAAAGATTCATGCCAGTCTTGTACGACAAGGTGAATGTTAAACAACAGTCCAAAGAAGACGACTATTCATTGACGAAGTTTCAGCCGGTGTCGGCCATTTTGTTTTTCAACTTCAGCCTTATATATCAAGTTCAAAATGAATTACAGCCAGATAAATAGTACTTTTCAGCTTGAAATATTTCAAATTTTTCTTTGTTCCAACATTATGTTTTTCAGATAGCCTTCTTAATATCATTGATCAGGTAAGCTTTTTAACAGGTTTTTTTATGTAAGGCATTGGTTCCTCAAATAGGTACTAATATGAATAGTAATCCGACACAGTACATGACTATGACAGTCAGTAGATTCCAAATGTGACCTTTGTTACATTGAATACAGACCAACACGATTCAAGGTGATGAATACTTTGCATAACATTTCACTTTTCATACAAGTTTGATACTTCAATATAAGGACGGCTTTATCACAATCATTTTCGATTATTACCTATGTACTTTAGGAACTTTTCAATACAAAATCAGGACGGGTTTCACATTTCAAGGTGTTTTTTTGCATCATTAATCTATACTTCCATAGCCTCTCTTGATTAAACTCTGCACATGCCGAGCGATGCTCTCATGAAGTGGACCAAATGGACAGATTGTTGAAAAAGGCAATGTTTTTGCAAGGCAAGTTTTTGAAACAAATACTCGGCTTACAATTCAATTCAATCAACTTTCAAATCAAGGCATCTTAAATTGGGGGACGGATAAACAAATTATGATCAGAATTCAAATTTCCATATGGGGAAAATAAATGCCTTTTAAGCTGAATATGAATACATAAATTAAAAAGAATACCAAATTTCAGGAATACACAAAAAATGGGAATATCAAGGGATAAAATTCATATTGTTTGATTTTTTTGTCTTATATTTATAAGTACCAGACTAAACATCTAGATCATTTTAGAATGTTAAAGCTAGTATTTTGATCAGAGGAATTAAATACAATCTATTTACATTTGCTTTTGTTTTTGCTCAGCTCAATTTTTGATCCAGCCTATATACTCTCTATATAGCCAAGGAACAAGCATATACCATACATGTATATATACTATGAAAACCAACTACACAATTGTGCACATAACACATAAAAGCTCTTCATTAAACATTAGATGAAGATTGTTAAAATCAGGTGCCAGCTAAAAAAACAAATTCAAGCCATTTAAAAATATTACATCAATGTTATTAAAAACATTTAAGTGATCTCAATTTCTCATAAAATCCTGAAAAGCACTAATTTCCATTTTATCTTAAATTTCATTTTTGATTACTAACTCAAACAGCATTGACTCTCCTTTAAGTGAGATAACACAAATCTAAAATTCCTTTTGTTTTCTTAACATTTTTGCTCAAATTTTCTTCTGTCCAATTCAATTTGTCCAATTATCCAAAATAAATATTGACCCGGTTTTGGTGAATTTTGGCAAGTTTACACATACTATGCACTGCAAAATATATACAGGCAGATACATACTAAATATACATTCAAATCCTTAATGACTAGTGCACATTAGTAAACAATTTTACTTGGTCTACTTATCAAACCTTCAAAACATTTTCATACAAATTATTTCCAATGAATAAAAAATCAAACATATGACATGCTTTCTTTTGTTCTTATTTATGCTGTCCAAGGCGTTTGTTCTGTGGCTCCTTTTCACTGTTCAATGAAGACTTTCTACTCATCTTTGAACAATAATATACATGGACAGTATATTTTTTAAACCAAATTAAAACCAGACATTGTGTGTTACGAAGGTTTGATCTTTTAACAACAGTAATAATAATAATAACAATATTGCTCTACAAGTATTTACAACAGATATGTACCACATAGTATACTTCACAAAGCTCAGAATTGTTGAATGAAAATATGTCCACATTAAAGGGAAAAAAATGGTAATCAAATACTCTTTTCACTTTCAGACTGCATTTCTCTAAATATATGTTTATAATGATAGAAAAAGAAAGATGCTTCATACAAGAAAGGCACAAGAAGATTAGGAAGAAATAGGAAGATGATTCACAGAATTCAGGAAGGAAATATATCTCAACATTATTTTATGTTGATTATAATTATAAACAAAAAAGATATCATAATACGAAATGAGAAAATATTTCAGAAGAAGAAATTGAAAATTGAAATATCACAATTGATTTATATACAGGGTATATAGATATGTTGATTGGAAGGAATGTATATACTCAGATTAAAAGAGATTGAATTTTGAATCTGTACATGTACAATGTATGTATGTATACACAAGATCAAATATGATAAAAGCATGTGATAAAACTAACAAGAGAGAAGAAAAAAAAGTTAAATTACAGAAATTACAAGAGTATCCATCTATACAAAGAAAATAATTTCTGATCTTTTCAGAATACATATCTGATGATTATATTAACAGATAAAAGGCTAGAGGTAAAGAAAATGAGCACTATTTGTAATTAAAATGAGGATACTTACGCATTAAAATGACAAATACGATCGCTAGAATATATCATACACTAAATAACTTGGCACAAGCAGAACAAAATTCACAAAATTTGGTAACCATAATAAATAAATCAATTTTGACTCCATAACATTCTAATAAACCTCTTAACCTAGCACAAGTACTTTATTCACAATTCCAAGTTTATACATGTTGTAACTATGTACATGTTCAATCAATATATTCTCTCTTTCCGACAATAAAGCCTTTTCATTTAAGGAACAATTTCATCGCATTCCATACCAACACAATCAGACGCTGTTACAGTATATGAACTTTGTGCAATATTTTGACCAAACTATTGCATCAAGAACACATCTGATGTTTTTCTCAATCAATTTCATCGATTCGAGTCTGCAGACTATCGTGATTGTCAAAATTTCAAAAAAAGTAAAATGGGAAAATTACTTGTCAGCTTTTGTTTATGAAACGATTCAAATATCTGCTGTAGATTTTTTCATAAAGAACTGTGCCATGAAATAAATAATAAATTGAGCTTGCAAATTTGTGAACTAATTTGAATTTTTGTTGAACAACTGTGTATTGTTAACATTGCAGGATTAGTCTTTAATTACTTTCTATCCTTCCTCTCCTGTTGATCTCACTTGTTCCTGAATCCTGATATATTTTTGTCTGTTTTATAATTTGTTTCACCTCGATGTGTTGCTGCCCTCTCTCGCTGTTTGGTGGAGGAAGGATCTACAGTAGGATGGTTGAGGAATTAGACGTTGCTTGTACTGATGTTGTGATCCTGTAATGAACATACAAACATAACAAAATAAGATGGTGATGAAACATAGCAATAAGAAGACAGAAAGAACAACATACAGGAAGAGGAAGTGAAAGGTCACAAAAGAAAGGAAAAGTATTAAGCATTTATACAAGTAAAGAGAAAGCATAAAATTACATGTAGATGAAAAGAGGGAATAGAAGTAGTGGAGAAAGCTGAAAAGGAGAAAGCTCATGAAATTGTTAAGTTACATGTCATGTCATTACATGAAACATAGGAGATGTTCAAAATGTCTAAACTTGAATCATGAAAGGTCAAGTGGTCAAAAAAGCATCAACATACCTACATATGATTTCAAAATATAAAAAAAGTAAAGGTACAAGAATGAGATATGGCTACGTACAAATAGAATCTCTCAAATGAAAACAAAATATTAAAATGGCACAGGTAAGTTCGCCACTTTCTATATCAGTGGAAGAACTCTGCTGTAGACTGTTGTATATGCTGCTCAGGACAGAGACTCCTGTCGAGTAAACAACTAATAAAATGCACCAAATCTTTCAAAAAAGCGAATTACATCGTGGAGAAAACAAGAGTACAACATGTGTAAATCATTCATCATTAAACACATATTTATATATCATTGTACATACAAAGTAAAACATGGTATATTTGGAAACTAAAAAAATGATATCAACATTGTACCACTCTGACTCATGTACATGTAATGTTACATGCTTCATTTAAGTTACTTTAATAGGCAAAGCACTGTTTCTCGTAGTAAGTTTCCTTTTCCTCACGGCACACAGACTTACAGCCGCTTAATCCTCATCCTCGCTATATTCCTCATCATCATCATCATAATCATCTTCCCCGTCGCTGGAATACTCGGAAGCCTCGGACGAAGCACGTGACTCCTGATAGAGGGCAGCATGCAAGTTTGGAGGACAAAGGTCATGAAGTAAAATGCGACAGATAGGATGGCATACATAGAGGGTGGTATTCTCAAAAGCGGACTAACTTTAATCCATGGTTTATTCCACCAAGTAAGTATAAAAAGCCAAGTGTCCATGTAAATACATTTTTGAATGATTTGATATGTTCCTAAATTACCATGATAACATAATTATATTATATAGTTATATTGTTGTTTATTAATTTTCTAAATACATTTTACTTTAATATAGTGACAGATTGAATTATTCAAAAATGTATTCATATGGACACTTGGAATTCCATACTTAGTCAGAGGATTATACCATGGACTAAAGTTAGTACGCTTTGAAGAATACCACCCAGAGAGTTTCTGAAATAGCTTTAGAGTGTGAACATCACAGCAAGCACAACAGAAGGGGTGAAATGAAAGAGGAAGAAACTGCATCTTGGTGCCCCGGCCTTATTCCTCTTACATGTAACTCATGCACAGGATCTAAAGATTGTAGACTCATATCTTTCCGCAGCTTAAGTGCATTCATTTCTTGATGGTTTACATATTCTCGATGCACAGGCAATAATACTATCCATAACATCACATTGGTTGAATAACAAATAACCAAAATCTACATTTTGCACGGACAGAAAGGAGGAATTTACATGTATGTCCAAAGAAAATCACATCATAAGAATATCAGATCATTAAAGTGCTGATGTTCAGTCTTTGTTGACTTGTTGGCCTAGTCAGGTACAGCCCCTAATTCTATAATATACATATATATTTACATTTAATAATTTAGAAAAATACAACACAGCAGAATGGTTATTGATGTGAAAAAGACTTAAATCTTAAACAAAGTGCAAACGTGCAACAATTTCCAATAAAAAGGTAAGAGTTAGAAGTGTCATCCAATTTAAATTTATTTATCTGGTCATCTCTCATTCATTTTGACAACATAAACAAATGACATGTTCATTAATGTTGATGGATGTGGCTAAACATCAACCTAAAAATAAAGAGTGAAGTTAGTGCTAGAAAGAACAATTTCACATCAATTTATACTTCTTTAAACTTTTCAAATGCCCTAATTGAAGTTTGAAGTTTAAAGTTTTATTAATTCCGCATTTTACATAGAAAAACAACATATTCTTTTCTTTTTTTATACAGGAAAAAAAAAAGGAAATTAGCCATTAATATCTGGTGCATGTGTATAACATTATAAAAAAAGATTAAATGTGATAGTAGGAGGTCTCCAAATGGTCACTATCAAGACTAACACAGGGATCCACATTGAGTCATCATTGAGATAACTTGACTGCACTACAGTATATATGACGGTCCAGTCTGTTGAAAGGTGGTGAGCTATAACTTCAGACATCTGGGTGCAAAGGACAACAGTTAAAACTTCTAGATACTGGTAAAAGGTACACATGTGCAAGATGTTAAACAAACAGGATTGGGTATTGCAGATTTCGCAATACAAGTATTCATCATTATTCCTAATCTTGGGACTCAACTGTCAGTAGGGGTTTGTGTATGGTTAAGAAGTACAGAGGATCTTTGTATTATCTCAGTGCAACGGCAACCCACACCACTCTGCTGAAAAATAAAGGGACTTACAGCTGACATGACAGATTCAGAACGAGGACTGAACGCCCGGGATGCTGTTGACTTGGCAGTGGTAGCGCGAGAGGAGGCGCGGGAGGACGCAGCTCGTTCGCTCGCCTGTGAGACGGAGCGGGCCTCGGATGGGGCACGTTCGCTCACCTGCGAGACGGATCGGGCCTCAGATGGTGCGCGCTCGCTCATTTGAGAGACGGAGCGAGCTTCGGATGGGGCGCGCTTGCTCATCTGTGAGACGGAGCGTGCCTCAGATGGGGCGCGCTTGCTCATTTGAGAGACAGAACGAGCCTGAGAGGGAGCGCGGGATGCCTGGGAACCTGGGCGCAGGGTTGAAGCGTTAGAAGCAGCGCTAGCAGCGCGTGGGGACTCCTCAGAATTATCTGCCTTTGTGTTGTTCTAGGAGAAAAAGAGGGATATAATACAACGGAAATAAAATAAATGGATTAATGTCAAAGTTCCATAAGGATAAGCAAGATGGTATACAACATAATACAACATCACAGCCTTCTTCCTACTACAGGGTATGCAATACTGTTTTCAAACAGGCATATATATACATTTACAGTGTACATATTTTCACATGAAAAAGATATTCTTTGAACAACTGGACTTTATTGCAAACACACAGCAGAAAGTGTATTTACTTTGCCCTGTGTATCAACAAAACATGTGGAATGATTCAACCATAATTATGATTTTGTTTGAAACAAATATTGAACGACAAATAATGCATGTGCACTCTTTTCACTGTTATTTCCACTATCAGACACATATATCATCACTATATGTATCTCCCTCTAATAGATTTCTGTCACTCTTTATATCATCCTAGACAGTGCTAGTTATCACATTAGATATTTTTTATTTTACTACACTTTATTACATTTAGTTTTAATATTTGTTAATGAAAATAGTGACACACATCGAATAAAAAAAGGTGTAAGTTAGTTATCTAAGATAGCTTTGCAATGCCGGAATAATCTCTACATTACCACCAGCTTTAAAAGCAGTTATGTACACTTCCCCTATTTTTATTGTTTAAGGAAGGTATTCACAGATTATAAAATAAATCCTGCTTAAGAGCACTCCTGTGTGAAAATCCTTGCTTTCTACAAATGCTACCTCTCTTTCTTCTCTTCTTGTTGTCTTCTCGCTCTCTTTTCATCTCTTTCTCCATCTCCCCCTTTCTCCTTCACCCTCTCAATCCCCTCATCTTTTGTTTACATCCCACCTCCACTAAACTGAAATGACATCGTTTGTAAAACAAACCACTAACAATCAAATACTTTTACTTTTTTGCTCCAATACATCATTTCTTCCTCAACCTCATCTTCTCAATCCCTCATCTCCTACAATCCCTTCTCCATTATGCTACAATTATTAATTTTGCACATCAAACTACTGTACCATGGAACGATTCAATACTTTCTTATTTTTTGCTTCAATACCCTTTCTCCCTCAACATCACCTTCTCATGCCCCTTATCTCTTTCCATCCCACCTCCATTACGCTGATTTTTCCTCTTTTACACATTATGATAACACCACAAACAATCCAATACTTTAACTCTGATACAACAGCTTTTTGTAATCAACCAAGGTGATTAGACACACAGCAACCATGTGAATTACTCACATCCATCGTCAAGGCAACCTCAGCGGAAGATCGTTGGGATGTGGCTGAAGGACGGCGGCTGGCTCGGCTACTTGGAATCTTTTATTATTCATTGCAAGCGTGTGAGTAAGGTCATGAGGTTGGCTCGTTAGTATATTCATTACTACACCGAAACATACAGTATCTTTTACTACTAGCCAATATCCATGGCACTTCATATTGGGATGGAAGGCTAGTGGAATATATATAAGATGGAGATATACAGTATATGATGTACACATGAGCTGTAAAGTAAATTAATATTATATAGTGATGAATGAAATTAAAAAGAATAAGCCATATAGTGTGCCTCAGGATTTAAGCTGGCTGGTATTTGGTGTACATCTAAGCTGATGCTGAACAGGTTGACCACCTCTGTATCTGTCAAGATAATGTAGATTATGTGAGAAGCTTTGAACAAAACCGGAATGGCCAGTATTCATTTAGGTGAATCAAGTATTGTATCACTGTAACAGTTAGGTTGGCACTTGTCACTCTCTATATCACTAGAACAAGTCAAGCCAGGCTCAACTTACTCCAGTTTTATGAAAACATCCTCCTAACCATCATCATCATCATCATCCCTTACCAGTCCAACTTGACGAGAGGCAGAGCTATCTGGGCGAGATCTCTGGTTACTGCCTGGACGGTTACTAGCGGAGCTACCAGCCCTACGACTAGCCTGAGACAGAGAGGCTTCAGAGTCCCAGCGTTCCAGCTCCTCACGGACTAGCTTCTCCATCTTCTCACGCTTGTCCACGTTGCCTTGCTCATCCTAGAAACGAGAGAGAGAAAAAGACTTATACTTATTTGATTCTGGGAATATAGGAATGAAAATTCACAGCCAATCCAGAGAGTTAGACTTGATCAAGCACTATCCTCACATGGCACTCTCTCTTCTCTTCAATATTCTGCCTGAGAATGTCATAATCCATATTTGCTGGGCTTATTTTTCAATATTTCTTTCACACAGTACCAAGATTCACGTGGGATGACTCACAAAGTTTTTAGTACCGTGAAACCTGTCTATAAAGACCACCCAAGCAAGATAGATAAGCAAAGTGGTCTTTACGTACAGCTTCATTTAGTACATGTTTCAATGACAAACCATTTCCAAGGAAAACAAAAAATGTGGTATTTGTAGACAGGTGGTCTTTCTATACAGGTGGTCACTAAAGGAACTTTGATTGTACATTCACAGCACTTCAATGTTAGAATTATATGGCACTCTCTCCTTCTCTCTTCATCACAGTTATTTTTTCTCCTGAGAATGTCATAAATAATATTTGATCGGCTTTATAGTATGTTCACATCGCATCCTTATTTTTCAATATTTATTTCACACAGTACTGAGATCCATGTGAGATGAATCACAAAGTTAGTACATTCACAGCACTTCAAATGTTAGAATTCTCCTCCCTCTCCCCCCCCCCCCTTTCCTCCCATCTCTCTCCCTCTCCCCCTCCCCTCCCCTCCCCTCCCCTCCCCCTAATGGTGAAAGCAGCTAGAAAACAGAATGTGCCAACTGAATAATATAGATGTATACAATGCAAATGAACAGCAGATCAAAGGTTAGTCACTCTTTTTGCCTTATGCAGCAACTATAATGAAATGGAATATTCTCTCTCTCTTCCTCTCCTGATGTTTATTATAAGTTATCACAGCACACCAATGTTTAGTGATTCAAACACACTCTCTCTACCTCATCCTCCTCATCCATCTCACTATACTGAGATGCAGATGAAGTAGATCGAGGCAGTCCTCCGGTCCCTTCCTTATAGGCCATCTTGATCTCACGTTCCTTATCAGGTCAAATTGCATGCAAAGGATGATGGGTAGTGACAGAAAAATGGAATCATGCAAAGTTAGAAATATCGATAGCATGCAAAAATACAAAATGTTATGGCAGACTTTAACTGAATGAACATGTATTTGAAATAGAAGGAGGGGAAAGCATATATGAAAGCATAATTTGTATTTATGAGACAAGAACAAGAAGAATGTAAAAGTTTGACAATGGAAAAAGATCACTGAAAGTGCTGCTGTAAGAAAGATGAAATGATTTGATACAGCCAGGAGCATCCACAAATAAAATATGAAGCATGCACATCTTGGGTTTATAAGAGTTTGTCTGCATATGGATGTATGACATTAACAAAATATGGAGGATCAATATTTTATGAATATACAGTAAAAAAAAAAAGAGGAAGAAAAAGGGAAGTAAATGTTACAATGATAAACTGTTAAATCATGCCATGATATTCATGCTTGTTGGCAAAATTCTGAGCGATAGCTACAAAAAACCACAGAAAGGTATGATGATTTTTAAATCAATGATGGTGTTAATAATGATGATGCTGATGATGACATAAATGATGGTGATAATATTGATGGTGATAATATTGATGGTGATGATAATAGGATGATGATGATGATGATGAAGATGATGATGATGATGTTGATGATGATCGTGATGATGATGATGATCATGTTGATGATAATATTGATGATAACATAATGATGATGATGATAATGATGACAATCATGTTGATTATGATGCTGATGTTGATGATATTAATATTGATGATAACATAATGATGATGATGTGTACAGAGGTAATGCTCTATGTAAAAGCTTGATACTAACCTCTGTGATGGAATCCAGTAGTTTGCCCATGGTCTCACGTCTCTTCAGCTTGGCACGTTCCATGGCTTCCAGCTTGACGAGAACAGCATCAATCTTGGATACGATGCTTCCAATGGAATGCTCCATACGATCCACACGACGGGACAGACTGGTATGATTCAAAGAAAAATGAGAGTAATAACTTTGGTTAATGCTTGATACCAGTGTTTCTATTAACACTTAACGCTATATTTATTGGATTCATCTGATATTCTTTGTTTGGAACCGGAAGGGTGTTAACCCATAACAGATTTAATGCCCCTCTGGCCCTCAACAGTCGATATTGTCACCCAGCAGATGATAATCATAATAATAATATTCCGCTTATATAGCGCTAAATACAATGTCTCTAAGCGCTTTACAGATATACTATTACCCCGGTCATTGGATACAGTGCTTGCCTGCACACACTGTGTGCCCTATCTCCACTCCCTGGGGAGCATACCAGCCAGGCGTTACTTGACGCTCAAAAACTGTTTGACCAACAATGGTGGTCACATCCTACCGGGGTACCCATTTAACATCCGGGTGGAGAGTAGCAAGTGCAGGTTAATATCTTGCCAAAGGACATTAGTGCCGTGTCGGATACAAACCCTTGACCTTCGCATCTCCAGTCAAACGCCTTAAACCAAATAAGTATGGACTTTCCAATACTGGTATTGGTTGAACGTTACTCTGTGGCAGCTTGACTAAAAGCAACAGCAGTATCAGAATGGAGTTTCGTAATTATTCATGAGCATTCAATATTATAACTATTATCACTAAACCTGCCATGCAATGTAAGAACATGAAAAAAGAGTCTTCTGTTCACTCACACAACAAATTCCTCATAGGCGACACCACCACCGCCACCACCTCCACGACGGCGGCCACCACCCTCCTCATCGTCATCATCATCGTCCTCATCGTTGATGCTCACACGGCTGCGGGCAGTAGTAGGACGATGTTTGCCCTTGGCATCTTCCAACTCAGCAAGCTGGTTGTTCAGATCAGACTGAGGAAAAAAGTATAAATGTTATATTTTAAACATTTCTTTAATAACAATAATTATATTTGCTTATATAGTGCCTATAACACTCAGCATTTCAAGGCATAAATTCCTACCAGGTTTCCATTTACTTCACTTGGTTGGAGTGTGGCAAAATGTAGATCAATGTCTTGTCAAAGGACATTAGTGCCGCGGCTGGACTCGAACCGCGGTCCTTGTGATCGTCAGTCCGGCGACGTATCCACTCGACCACGACACCTCTTAGAACTTGATGTGTTGATGGTACAGATTTAACTATGTGTCCTTACATGTGTTTACTTTGCACATAAAAAAAAAAGGGAATAGAAAATATATACATCATTGCAAGGGACTAATAAAGGTCTAATTGCACATGATCCTAAAAAGTTCAGAAAACCTATTACCTTCTGTCCTTCCAGATCATGGGCCATCTTCATCTGTTCCTCCGCATCGAGAACACGATCACCGTCGACATCGTACTTAGCAAACACAGCCTCAATATCAGCATCGGCATGACCACGGCTACAGAGTCAATATCAAAGAGGTAGAGGAGCGTTAAATGCATCGTTTAACAATGTTAAATCTGAAATGCATGGCCCTACGTGTTATCAGTGTCTGTGATAGGTGTAATATTGAAGCCCTAAACAAAAATTGCTTCAAAATGATCAAAAAGTGCCCCCAAAAAGTTCCTTTAACCATTCCTGGGAACAATTTCTCAAGGGAAGTATAAACCGTGGTCACAAATCTACAGAATTTACATGTTTTGATAATTCATTATTGAAGGAAAAATTATTATCTAAAGATCAAAATTGAGAGACCAACAGTGAGAGCAACCAGTGGCATGAACGGCCTGCCATAGTTAAGTCCAACTTAAAATCGATCTTAGCCTTTGTGAAAAACCCCCAGGAGTAGTTTATAATTAGTTCTATGATGCTCAATTCAAGACTAACCATTTGAGTTCCTGACGCCATTCATCAAAGTCCAGATGCTGATCAGCGTTAGCGTCAGCATGAGCCAAAGCCTCCTGGATATCAGCGATCTTATCACGCTTGAAGTTGATCTTGCCGACCATCTTCTCGTAACCCTTCTTGAAGTAGTCTGTGATCTCAAACTCAGACTTCTGCAGGGCGATGTCGGACTTGACTTCGCTGTAGGTGTCGTTGATGATGGCCAAGAACATGTTCTGGGAAATTAATAATAATAATAATCTGGATTAATATAGCGCTTAATACGAAAATATACAGTCTCTATGGATAATATTCTTGAAAGCAGACTTACTTTAGTCCATGGTTTAGTCCATGGACTAAGTATGGAAGGCCAAGTGTCCATATTAATATGTTTTTGAACAATTTAATCTGTCAATAACTTAAAATAAAATGTAATAACAAAAAATAATAGACAACAATATAATAACTTTGATATAATAATGTTATCATGGTAATTTAAGGACATATCAAATTATTCAAAAATATATTCATATGGACACTTGGCATTCCACACTTAGTCGGTGGATTAAACCATGGACTAAAGTAAGTCTGCTTTCGAGAATACCACTTTAAGAACTTTACAGATGTTATGACCCTGGTCATCGGGTTCATCCATACCAGATTTGCACCATCTCCACTCCCTGGAGAGTATTTCTACCATATGGTCATGGCGAAGGCATATGGCAATTACTAACACAAAGGTTTTTGTCATCCTACCAGGTCCCCAATTATCTCATGGATATGAAGTGGCAAATGTAGATTAATGCCTTGCCAAAAGACATTAGTGCTGTGTCTGGGATCGAAGTGAACGACCTTTGTATGTCAAGAGTGCTTAAACCTCTTAGCTATGACACCTCTAAAAAGATTAATACAGATTTGAAAACAGCAACTCCTCCAAACACCATGCATCTTGGATGTGTCTTTTATCCTAAATGGATAGCTAATAAAAAGATTATCGGGAATATTTCAAGATCCTACACATCGATGCCTAAAAAAGAGATCATCTTGGCTTTTAAGAATAAATGACTCTTTTTAATTATTAACTGATTCCCACCCCCTATTCTTTTCCTCATATATCTTTGTTTTTCACTCAAGGAATAACTTGATATCTGTAACATGTATTCTTTACTTAACCAATACTTTGCCATCTAGCTTTTAAACATATAGTAGAAAATACGATCTTAAGAGATGATCACTCAGTCATGATTCTATTTTGTTCTTCCTTCATTGTTCACTCTCAATCAAACAACATCCCTTATATCTAAAATCACAACTCTATTTTGAATTTGACAAGCCTTTAGTGAATAAAATATTAAACTTCAGGTGCTGTATTTGAACTTGATTTGATTTGGAAACTTACCAGCAGAACAAAGAAGACCACAAACACGTACGTCAAGAAGAAGATGGGGCCCATGAATCGATTGGCCGCCTCCAACTCATGGAAGTTGAAGTCTCCCAGGACGATACGGAACAGAGTATAGCTGCATGCAATAGTGATATGAGAAGATCAATAACCTAATTATAAAAGCTATCGCAAGAAATAGTGAATATGTGTTCATATTCTGTTCATACTGTGTCTTTTCTCTTTAAGGGACCTAAAATAAAATGTAATGCATAACATATTTTATGTAGTGCCCCAAAGGAGAAGGCAATTACGAGGGGAAAAAAAGAAAAAAAACAATTGGGAGAGTTATCCGCAACTAAGTCACAATCCACTGACCACACTGCCAGTTTGAGGTCCGCATAGACTTGGTGATTTCATATTGCAAATCATTCATAACTTTCTTATTATTGGTTGATTTATTTCACTCATTCATTTCGTTTATTTCCATTTCCGACATAATGATATCAAATACATGGGATTGGATTGTACATAACTAAACAATAAAACTTAACAATGTAATTGTAATTGGTGTACTTTCACCATTCTGTTTATCATACTTTTCTGCTCTCAAACAAATGAACTTATCACAAGGGTTGTATTGCCCTTCAATGACAAGGAGACGACTTACATGCAAGATCCGATGCTGCTGAAATCTTTGATCTGTGTACCGAAGACCAGATAACCGAGCTGTGCGTAAGCCATGAAGATGATAGCAAACATGACCGTGAAACCTCCTACATCCTTAGCACAACGTGAGAGGGTGGAGGAAAGCTGGGTCATCGTCTTGTTGAAGCTGATGTACTTGAATGTCTGGAAAGAAAATAAATCAAAACAATAGATATTGAACTACCCCTTTATAGAAGCAGCATGAAACCCATAACCCAGAGCAAAATATTTACTGTTTTTTCTTTATGTAATCTGTATACAGTGTACCGGTAGATAAAATGAAACTATACAAGTACCAGTCAAATACAAATATAGGATAAACTGCTTGATGGGAAATCGTGATTTTCAAGTTACCCTATTTGTTGCAAATGTTCATATTTCAAGGCTCAATTTTGTTTGAAAGGATGTTTATGACGGGGGCTTCTAGTTAAGCTACGGTCACAAAGGTTCGTACGAACGATTATTTTGTACGAATCTCCGTTTTTTCCATCGTCTTCCCAAATTTCCATTGTCTGAAAATCGTTCGTACGGTGTTCGTAGCAGTTCGTAATGGCATTTGCGACCGAGGCTTTAAGTGCCAGTATCCACCTCTGCTAGGCGATAGCAGAGTTCAAGCGCCCTAAAATTTCTTACAAAATTCAATGTTTTCATTCAGTCAGTGCAGTCATATAGTGATGACTGCTAATGATGACGACTGATTGTTGATCTCTTACCTTAATCCAAGCCAAGAAGACATTGACAGCTATGATATTATTGAAGAGATCCTGCCAGTATCCCATGTACTCAAAGTCAGGATAGATATCAGGCTCGGCGAGCAACCCTTCGATCAGATTGGCTACAGTCAGGTAGCGATAAACACTGAACGCTACACAAACAACCGAGATCTGAAAACAAAACAAAGAAATCACTTATAATAGTATTGAAATGGACGGTGTACACAAAAAGATAAGATATTTACAAATTCAATACACTTACATCCTTATTGCAAGTTGAGGGTTGGGGAGGAACCAAACATGTCAAGAGAACAACATAAATCCTAAAATTATAAATTTAATAAAAAGCAATACAGGAGCTCATACAAAATTAATTTTGATTATAAAAGAAATGTGAAATGTCTTGAACAACAAATTTAACCACCATTTTTTTCCCGGAGCAATGTGTTCACAATTTAATACATATTTTACAAGGGTAAGGGGGCTACAAGAGTCGCTTTTAAGGGAAAGTCCACCCTGATTTTAACCTGGTTTTGATAAAAAGCAGAAAAATGAGAGAAACAGGTCAGTGAAAGCTTGATTAGTTATTGGTGACAGAATAGATTTGTTTCAAACAGGGGTTGAATAAAAACATATTTTCGATAATTCTATTTAGGGAGAATGTATGATTGAAAAAATACTCATTTTTGAAATTTTTTACTACAGGGAAAATATGGGAGGGGACGTTGCAAGATAAGTCACTCGCCGAGTAGCCAATTTGTGTTTGATTAATTGCACCTTCAACAATGTATGACTTTCTTATTTTTAATCAATTTTTGCTGAAACTTTCGCTGACCTATTTCTCACATTTTTCTGCTTCTATTAAACCCACTTAATATCAGGGTGGACTTCCCCTTTAAGAACACCATCTGATTATTTTTACACAATATGATGATTACAATATGATGTAGAGGTATTGTGGTCTAGTGGATAAGTCATCGGACTGTGGATCACAGGGTCCGCGGTTCAAGTCCGGCCACAGCACTAATGTCCTTTGGTAAGATATTAATCTACATTTGCCACTCTCCACCAAGGTGTTAAATGGGTACCGGTAGGAAGCAATTCCTTGAATTGTGTGAGCGCCGAAATCGGCTGCCTAGCAGAGCCTGGTTAATAGTTTGAGCGCCTTGAGCACCATGTATGGTGGATATGTGCGCTATATAAATATCTAATATTATTACCATGATGATGATGACATCGAGACAGTTCCAGCTGCTCTTGAAGTAAGCCCAACGATGCCGCTTTATCTCCAGGATCTCTTCCACCATGTAATACATGATATAGAGACAGAAGATGCCTTCACAAGCCAGGATGAAGTAGTCAAACGCTGTCACGTAACGCAACAGCTTCACAGTACGGAACTTGTAGGACGGGATGGCGCCACCGGTAGGGGGATATTCCACGGTCAATCTATAAATATGGGGGAGAACCGTTTCAAAAGATTAATTTTTGTCATTTTATTCAATCGACCATCACAGGATGGAATATCATATGCATGGACAAAGAAAAGAGGCAGGGGAAGTTCTTAAAGTATTATGAAATCGATACCCTGCTGGCTCTTTTGCTAGGTACTTTGCTAGGAACTCCTGGGGGGGGGGGGGGGGGGGGGGGCATTTCACAAAGCCTTTTTTCAATGACAAATGACAACAATCAGTGACAAATCTGTTGATAACCAATCAGAAGCAAGGATTTCAGTAGCTTCTAACACAAATTGTCATTTGTCACTGATGACAAGTTTTGTAAAACGCCCCCCCTGGAGTTATCAAGGTACTCTTAAGCTGCCACCCATACAATGCACCCAGTGCCACAGTGCTAATCCCTATTGTGCCACCCACAAATCTCCTGTGTGCCAAGTTAATTTTAAGGTTGGTTCAAACGCGTGTAATTTAAATCTTTACAACAAAAAAATTCGCTAAATTACTTGAGAAAATCCAATCTGACTGTTGTATACAAAGATGCGTAATCCAAAGCCGATAATCTGATGCACGCGATGGTACTTTCAATAGCGCTGCAAAAGCACTCAGCACGGTGCAATGGGCATGAACAATGACTGTTATTACATATGCGCCCTTGCGTGCACAAAGCATAGTAGCGATGGCTCGCTAGCATGAACGTGGCATTCAATCGATAGCGCGCTCGCGTGCACAGAGCACTATAACAATAGCGCGCTAGCAGTCTCATGGCAGGATATGAGTTAAAGAAACTCCATTTTGTGTCAGTCTAGATATTTGATAGTCTCTCCTGTCCTAGGTTTGCACATGTTACCTAGATTTATTCCCCGATAACCGCAGTCACTCTAGATAAAGTGACTTGAGGTTTCATGTGATTCGTCAAAAACTTACATTATATGAAGTACGTCCTTAGAGAAAGTTATCTTGTGATAATTGTTGAGGGATGATAGTTAAGAGAGTAGTTCTCTAATGCCATTAGAATACATGTCCTACATGTCACATGGATATCTACTGTTCATAAGTCAAGTTTGTTACAGGATCCAGTAACGTTTATGACTTCAGATAAGGCATTTATCTAAAATTGCCTCTCTCTACTCAGGGGTAGCAACTGGGTGCCTGGATGTATTCCTTGCACAACAGTGCACAGCAGTGCACAACTTACAGCTGCTAGATCTAAAGCAAGGTTAATATTTTTCATATAACCAAGAGACTTTAATTTGCTCTATCCATTTCAAATGACCCCCCCCCCCAAAAAAAAAAAAAAAAAAAAAAAAAAAATCAATAAAAAAATAATAAAAAATAAAATAATAATTAAAAAAAATAATAATAAATAAAATATAACAAAATAAATAAATATATATAATTAAACCACATATACATAACACAGCAGTGCATGCAGCTTGTAAGTATTACCGTATGATACAGAAGTAATTGATGTTGGCATTGTAGACTGTGAAGTCCACAAAGAGAGCTCTGGTGCCGCGATCAAGCCAAAGATTCTCCTTCAAGGTGAGGATGATATCCAGAGACTCCGCCTTGGTCTTCATCAGGTCAGCATAGAAACCACCACCTCCATAGGAAGTGATCATCCCTGTATGGCCAGAACCATCCAGGTCTTCCTCTGTGCTATACACCCATCTGTGTTATCAAGAAGACAGAATGATACAGAAATCTTCATTCAATTAAATTTAAGTTTATTTATCTCTTATGTACATAGTTGCGATTGATATCCATCGCATAGCAGTAGGGGTGAAATAAATGAGGAAGCTTGAGACAAGGAGAGGAGAAAGGGAATATCATCATGGCACGAAAGTTAGTAACCCTTCTTAAGAGGGAAAATGCCAACTTTAATAAATGATGATGATGATGATATGGAGTTTACTTACGCTGTTCCATTGTTCAGACCGAACGTTGCTGTGTCCTCCAGACTCTCAGAGTATCCAGCATAACAGGTGTTGATGTTATCTTCAAAGTCAGTGTGGACCTGGCATGAGTCGTTTGTAACCTTGAGCTGCCGGATACGAGGCACACCCAGCAGCTTGTTCTCGTAGAAGATATAGCCTAGTTCATCGTCAGTCACGTTCTCGTTGTTATACCATTTCTCCCAGTAGAGACCGTCCATCAATGGAGTCTCAGCAAACTGGAGGAGAAACATACAGATTCGTAAATCAACCTGGCAATCAAGATCTTAACGCCCCAGTACACTACTTATAGCTACTTGCGCTCTCTATATAACAAACAATGCCTAATCGGTGACCATCGGTCCCCAATGATCCTCTTTTTCTTATGTTAATTGAGAGCTGATTTGAGAGATGACCATCTGTTCAGTGACCTTGCATGGTGGTCTAATTCCCCCTGTACACTAGTACAGATGGGCTTTAACATTAACACATCCAGGACCAAATTTCACAGAGCGTTGCAACTGGTTCGGATTGATCACAAGTCCTCAAATCAACCGCAGGCTCACAAGCTCCTATTTCTTTAGAACAGAGGGATTCCAAGTTTTAGTGGATTTTAATTATCAACTGCAACTAATGGGACTTGGTTCTTTTCATAGTTAACTAAAGAAATAACTTACATGTACAATATATTAACTGTAGTTCATGTAAAGGGGGAATTCAATGTGGATATAAAGTTACTTTTTAATAAAAACAGAAAAATAACTGAAACACATCAGTAAAAGTTTGAAGAGCATTGGATAATGTATTTTTAAAATGATGCATTTTCAAATTTGTAACTGATCAAATGCAAATTGATCACATTTTTATAATTGTAGTATACAATGCCTTTTTGGATGCCTTCATGAGAGTTTTTTCATCTTTTCTTGGAGAGAGGTTCAAACAGAGAATTTACATATATTTTGTCATTCTGATACAGGTGTACTTTTCTCCAACAGCACTATCTAAGTATTCCAGGGGGGTGTTTCACAAATTATAGAAAGCCGTCAGTACCTTTGAAAATATTTTGTAAAAGTTATTTTAAAAGGCATAAAATCTTGATTCAAATCATTCATATTTCTCTATTATAAAGGAGATTTCATGTTCTTTATGTGTAATTTATGAGAAGTCTAAAATACTTGATTTTTGCTTTTGAATATATTTTATTTTAAGGGTACAAATGGCTCTCCATAACGTTTAAGTCCAACTTAGAGTTAAGTTTGACTTAGGATCTTTGTGAAACAACCCCAGGTTCTAACTACTCTCCTCTCCCTTGCGATGAGACCTACCCTCCAGAAGTCATGCATGGTGGTCATTCCACGGAAGGTGTTCTTGGTGTCAGGGAACTGGGTGTCCAAGAAGAGTTCTGACATCACCTTGGTGTAGTAGTACATGTGGGAGCTCGTCATGCCAAAGGTCACTGCAAATAGAAAAGAGGGCAAGACATGTACTCGTTTATTTTATGATGGTCTATTTTTTGATGGTATATTTTTTGATGGTATATTTTTGATGGTATATTTTTTTGATGGTTGATGGTTGATTATTGTTATACCCGACTGCTACGAAAGCATTTATATTCTTGTAAGTAAGCAACCAGGGGACCACAGAAAGAATTAAGTCCTCTCGAAAGGACTTGGTATGAGGATTAATGCCTTACCAAAGGGCACAAGAGCAATGACTTGGTTTCGAACCTGGAACCTCTCGGTTACGAGACCACTGCTCTATCACTGAGCCATTGCGTCTCCTACTAAGGTTTTTTAATTGTTCTTCTCCATCATTTGTCTAGTTGCCATCAGCCTCCGCAAGACTATTTAGTCTTATGATGTACATGTACATTACCTGGGATACCACTTAATTTAACCAAACGTTTTAATAAATCCACATCAACAAAGCATAATAATACAACAATGATGATGATGAGGATTGATGATAATGATGGTGAGAAAAAGGGTAATGATGACTATAGGAATTATGGTATTAACTTCATACAATTGCTTTGAAGCAACTGACCGAAAGAAGGAAAAAAAATACATCACATTTATGACTTCACATTTTTGTAAATACATGTCCAAAATGTACAACTACAGTACATGTGAGTACTGATGTCACTCTTAAAGGCTTGTTCAAAAACCATGCGACAAAACCAAGGTTTAATGATGAATTAAGTTGAAGTAAGTTTATGGAAATCAATAGTTCCAAAATAATTACAGTGTACATGTACAGTACCTTTTAATAGCACTTATTAAATACAAAAATAAATGGCACTTAAATTGACCAAAAACCTGTTAAAAGATCATGATAGTAATACATTTTAACAAGTGAAAGACCAAAAAGCTTGTTTCAAGCCATAATTATTGATTACCACTCCAAAATTTTGAAAGGCAAATATTGAAACAAAAAGTGCAATATGATTATGATATCTGCATATTATGCACAAGGACATTTAAAAATAAACAGGGCAATGATCCAATAGAGAATGCAAAAATAGATGTGAACAATTACTGCATGAACTGTGCCTTTCAATACCAGAAAATTTAAATAAAAAACACATTTCTAATCAAAAGTCCTCTGCATTGCAATACATGAGTGTATTGTTTCTCCATTGGACCTAGTCAAGGAAGGTATTTGGCAATTTCATTAAAAATGAATTTAGCCATCCACCCATGGTGCTGACAGATATTGGTTGGCAAATAACGAAATATCCAATAAAATTTCATTACCAGACACAAAAGCTCCTCACAAAGGATTGATTATTTCAGAGCCATGTTTGATCGGTATGACGGCATCGGTGCCAATCTATACCATGCTAGTCTGAGTGTTGGATCGTTTTACCACATGTTCAATGATTTAATTTAAAAAACATCTACATTTTTTCCTATTTTTCAACCATTTCTGTTTTGTTGAAGTAAATAGAATTGGAGGAACAGTACCCTCCCATGATTTTTGTTGCATTCTATAATCTTGATAAAGTTCACATTATTTTCCACTTGACTTTATCAAGCAACATCATCTCTCTCTCTCTCTCCCTGATTGAATCACGAGGACAGGTGTACACTGTATGTGTACATTAAATTATTTTATTTCAGAAAAGTACTTCTCTATTTATAATCACATTTTCATGTCAAACATAACAGTTTAGCAATGTATCATAACAATTACATGTATGGTTACATCTCTAATTTCTTCTTCTTGATCAGTACACTTTACACTTTAGGTCAACGTATATATACAAATACAAAACAAGTAATGCTAATTAATAATAAAGAAAGTCTCTTAATGCGTAAAATTACATTACAAGTAGAATGCGGTAATAGAAAAAGAGTCTTTGCATGAGACTAGATTGGACACACAAGACAAGTGCTGCTAATAAATGAGGAGAGCATTCAGTTTGCAGATGCCTATGCATCCATGGCGACGGCTTGGTGTTGCTATGGAGACTGATGATGCTCGTGTATCCCTTTCTCTCGCACCACTGTTTCATTTCTGCCCCTGCTATTGTTATTCAGGGACGAGTATTACGCAGCAAGTAATGCGTGCTATATGAGGCTCTTGTTTTTATCCAAATTATTTAAGGGTATGATGTCTTCCATTCCTTTGGGAAGCATTATAGCCCTAGAAATTATGTATTCTAGTTATCCCTTCTTTGATATCTATTGCTGCCCTAGTATTTTGTGAATTCCTTTTGTAATTAGTTATTTATCCAAAATAAAAATCTTGATGATTACAAAATGTGGAAAAAATTGAATGAAAAAGACAGGACATCCTCTTTATATTTTCAACGCCAGAAATTTGAAGATGGAAAATAGCACTGTAATTGTTAACATTTTATTTTCAATCATACAGTCTGTAAATCAAAACACTTTAATTCTTGTCAGTCTTTAAATTTCCTTTGGGTACATATTGGGTCCAGTCAGAGAGGCCCGAATGCATTTAAAAAATATAATGTGTGATAGCTGGATAGGACGCTTGTGGCTACCGGTATACTGGCATTTTCAAAGATTTGTCAATTCAACAGCGGTATGGGGGCCAGTATAAAGAGCATCAATTTCCTCTTCTTATTCAACGCCCACCAAGTAATTTGAGGCTTGTCATTATTTTGTAAAGTTATTATTATCATTAATATAATTGTTTCTTTATTGCAGCCAAAACTCGAGGTTGGATTTCAAGTTGTCCTCCTATTTTGAATAGTCGGCCTAAATAAAGTCGGGTTTTCTTCATGAAACGAGATGTACATGTCATCCCATGGCATATTTTCAAAGGCTTTGCATCAGCTAATTAATGGGCATCCTTCTAAGAAGTACCATGTTGAATTATCAGCTTTAATAAACAAACAAAGTTTGAAAATACACTACTGTATCATACATGTACATGTACAGTACATGTACACATTGTAGGCCAACAATGGGTATTACTCATTTTTATTAGACTCAAATACAATCCTATCACTTAATCACAAGCAGGAGAGAATTTTATAAACCTCACAATCTATTTTCTCCCAAGGTTCTTTCTTCCTAACGCCCTATTATCATGTAAATCCCCCAAGCAGCCCCCATTCCCCACTACATATCGACTTTTTCTTCTTCCATGAAAGGACAGTCCACTTCTACATTTAGTTCTCTAATCCATCTATTGTTGTTCCTCCTATTCAAAAGGGTGTACACAACACAGCTCCGTCCTCCCCACTCTACACAACACAATAAACAGGAGGAGGTTTGGGTGCTGGAAGACGCATATATTGTCTGTACCAAGCCCCTATACTCACCACAGAGAGTATTATTGAATATAACTGTGTGTAGCTCATTAAAAATGCATGATTAACGCAATGAAAGAGAAAGTGCTGGAGAATGGAGAAGGGGGGGAGGAGAAGGGGGGGAGGAGAAGGGGGCAAGACAAGGGAGACATATGTGAAGCAGCAATTATAGCATGTGTGTGGATATGGAAACCCCATGTCATGTCTTTTTCTATGACTATCAAAGTCCTTGTTTTGTACTTTGAATAAATGTCTTTGTTTAACAATCACAACAATACCAATGCAAAATCTGTATATCATATGGCCAGTTTTATCAGTGCCAGTTTTATCAGTTTCAGTTTCAGTTTTATTTTTCATTTACAATAGAACAGTAATTCAAACAGGAAACTGTTTAAGTTGTCGGGATATACTTTACTGTTTTAGTGTCATTTTTTTAAAGCAAACTCCACTCTGAAGTCTTAACTGCATCTAATAATATAAAGATATTCAAGATGTATTTCAAATCGTATATTAAACCCTCAAGTCTCATGGAGGAACTTTATAACCCATTGGTCATTCATGTTTGTTTTTGAGACAAGGTGTTTCCCATTCTCACTAGCATTTCCTTTGAGTCTTGAGGACCTCTAGGGGTCTTCAACTTTTCATCAGCAGGATAGATGTGGTTAAGTCGTCGGACTGTCGATCACAAGGTCCGCGGTTCGAGACCCACCGCAACACAAATGTCTTTGGCAAGACATTGATCTACATTTGCCACACTCAACCCAGGTGATGAAATGGGTACCTGGCAACTAAAGCCGGGGTAATAATCTCCAAGTGATGAAGCGCTTAGTGCTTGTAATATGCGCTATATGTACACTGTAGCTTCAACTTGAAGGATGTTACTTACAGACATTCATACAAACTGTATCAACCGACAAAAGTACACCTGTATTACAGTCAACTTTCAAATATTACCAGGAACATGCATGGATAATATAAACAGATGACATACTGTACATGTAGATCCCAATCAAATGATTGGTAGAGAACAGACATCAAACAAAAAATACATGTACACATCAAATGTAAGTGCAATCGTATTATCCATCAGACTGACCTTGTAAAGTTGTAACCCTAAAACAGTGAGACTGCTCAAAAGGTACCTTGTGTGGATATTACTTACTAAGGCCATGTAAAATTGATTACATGTTGATCGTCCGGATTTTTTGAAAAGAGGAGGAGGGTGTACCATGTTATTTGATATTTGATATTTCAAAATGGCCGCTCAAAATGGCCGCTCGGTACATTTTCCCTGACAGTCGAGGCTATTTTTTTTCAAGATGGCCGCCGACAATTTTTTTTTTTTTTTTAATCAGAAATAGAGCCATTTTAGCAGTGTTTTTCATGTTTTTTTTCTTTCAAAAAAAACAAAAAATAACAACAAAAATCAAAAAAAAATTTCAAAAACAAAAAACAAATAACAAAAAATAGGAGGCGGCCCCCAAAAAGGAAGCGGGCGGGGACGATCAACATGAAATCAAGTTTACATGGCCTAACGTCCTCACTGATGTCATTTGTATACTAACCAATGCAGATGACAACAAGGAACACCAGATAGATGGCCAATTCTCTCAGGGTTGTCTTCACATGGAGCTCCTTGTCCAATGATGTATCTTCGGTCTGTCTTGTTCTCCACAGGGCTGTGAATAAATAAAGAAAAAAAAAGTTTTAGTTTCATGTACAACATGTAAGATGGTGTAAAATGAAATCAAACATCAATCTCTGTAAAGCTCTCTTCATGACAGAGAGAAGAATGAAGATCTCTTCCAACCTGTAGGACCGACAAGAATCTCACAGGGGATAAGGACGGGTAGGGTGAGAAGGTTTGGACATGAGGTTAGGAGAAAGGAAAGCCATTGGCTTCAGAGAGCATTGACATTCCTGTTAGCTGATTTAAAGCCCCACTGCAATACAATGATAAACAATTACATATTAAACAAAACAAAATGATACAAAATGTGTTGAATTTTATTAAGGTACTATATGATTTTGCAAAAGGGAGTGTCTTCATGATCATTGAAAGCAATCAAAAGTTATGTATATTTTTAAGAGCTCTGGTATTGGTAAACGGTTCCATATTAAAACATGGTGCCACAGCTGAGAAAAAAACACCAATTATCTAGGGCTCGATGCTAAGAGGCACCTACAGTGTAGGACACATGGGTGCCAAAATCTAAAATCTTGACCCCCACAAATGTGAAGTTTTTACATGATAGGGCTTAGACTGTATAAATTAAAAAAAAATAATCCTGACCCCCTTCCAAAAAAGTTAGTGTAGGGCCCTGAAGTGTCTATTCATGATTTTGCTAATAGGGGAAATTATAATGGGAGTAGTTTTGGTATATTACTGTCAGGAAAAAATATAAATGCAGCTAAATTTGAACAGCAAAGATCCTTGGGTGATATTTAATTATTCATGGGCATATAGAGCTGCCTCATATTACTCGCTATACAAATATAACAGCCCTGATGCTGCCTACGCAATAAGCATTTCACTGTTTCTTTCCTCCTTCTTGTATGGCCAATTTGGAGGGCTTCGTTTGCAAGGCTCGTGTTCAAAATCAATATCCTTTCCAGAGCAATCAATACTAAAACTCTTCTCATCCATCAACATCCAAGCGGAAGAAAGGAGAAGTATTACTGTTACTGGGCAGTTGTGCAATCTTTGGACAGGCAGTGGCACACATTACACTCTACACTGTACATTTACACTAATGTGGAGTCACAGGTTTATTTTAGAAAAATTAGATGATCTTAATTTTTAAATTAATAAAACTTATCATTTAATCATCCTCCTATACAAATCAATTATCAAAAAATACAAAACCTATTTCATTTCATCCCTCCTCATGTTTTAAAGGCTTGCGGTGTACAACCCCCCCCCCCTTTTTTTTTTGGGGGGGGGATAACGTTTTTGGACAGAGAGTATTACAACATAATTACATCTCTATTTGTATCACTAAACTTTTAGACATCCCCCCCCCCCCATATCAATCCAAAGTATTTAGATCATCAAGATAAAAGGGCCAACCTTTATATAAGGATTATTTTTTTCCTTTCAGGTTGCAACCTATTCAGTTTATTTTACGTCCTTTTAACTCTAATGTCTTTTTAACTGAACGAAATAAAATTGAATTGAATTTTGAAAAATTACAAAATTAAGAGTACCAGTAATTTTGCTTATTTTGGTATTCTCCACAGTGTATTTACATTTGTAATTACACAATGCACTCTTTAAAGAATTTATTATTAAAAAACAAGCTCCCTCTTACAACAATCAGTTTGCCTGAAACTTATCAAACATTCCCTTTGAAGAACATAAATTTACACGTTCACTGTACACCATGTATGCCTTCACCTGAAAGCAAGATTTAAAGCAGAATTTAACCACATTTTACTTGAAAGATGAACAGTGATGAACACTTGAAAAATGAACAGGAGTGGAGTGACACTGCAAGAACTCGTGTACTAGAATGGCAGAATGGAAAAATACCAATCTCTGAGTTGAGAGAAGACACCAAGATCTACATTGTATAGAAAGCCTACATGTACATTACCTTTTATTATTTAAGAGGCCTAATTGACCCAAGTGATTCAATTCTAACAAAACAGATTTTTATTTGAAATTAGAATTTAAATAAATAAAATGTAAATCTAAACCTAAATTTGTATACTAGAACTAAAACAGATGATGCACTCTACATGTACTGTACATGTACATGTGGTACACCATAGCCTCTTTTCTATTTGACTTGTAATGTATTCTATCATGCTTCAAGGTAAAAATTACGTTGAGTTTCATTATTGTGCACAATAGTATTACATGAAAGTAAATTGTGAAATGTTCATTTCTTTACTCTGTGCACTAGTGTTCAGTGTAAAAATGTGACACTTGCTTCCAATCTCTCCCACAATCATAAAATACTAAAGCTGGAACCAAGCTGAAGCCAGCAAGAGAGTTAATTAAACTAAATGAAGGCCACCTGTTGAGCACAAAATAATGCCTGTAGATTGCCATAGTGATATGAAAATGATCAATGAATATTTATACCACCCTGTATATTGGTACAAGCACGTACATTGTACATGTACATGCATGTACACCTTTTGAATTGAGAGCTCGGCAGACAATTGTCTTCAGGAGAAAGTACATGTAGTGTTAAGACTAAGAGTAAAAATTAAATGACATCATAAGTGAAGCAAATGAGGCAAGAGTCACAAGCAAATAAGTTTAATTTTAAACAAGATGATAAAAATTGGATTTATGAAAGTAAGATGTAATCTCATTATTTTCTAAGTAGTAAACAGATTTTTCATTTGTTTCTTTGTTATTTTGTTTATTTGCTAAAAATTGCTATTTCCTCCTTTTTTTTACAATGCTGGTTTCTGACTATCTGACTTTTCTGCTGATACATGTTTTTACAGGGTGGTTTTTACTTTGTACAATTTATCTGGATTTTTATTTTTGTTTTTATTATTTTTCACTTTTCAGACCTAAATTACTGTTTCCATGCATAAAATGATGGAAATCTTCTTTTAGGACCTGTCTATTTGTTACAAGCATTATGCAATAACTGGACCTAATTATGTAGAAGATTAACTAGAAAATTACAATGCATGATGGACTAGCAAACAATCTTACATCAGTTTCTTACATTTTAAAAAAGGCTTCTTAAATATTTTGAGAATTTTTCAAGAATTAATTCCCACACACCTGGGTCATGCATAGCAAAAATTTAAAACAAAATGATCAAATACGGAATGAAAAAGATGAAATTATGAATCCTCATGTTCTGTAGGTTGTACATGTAGGCAAGACCCCCCCCCCCCCCCCCCCAAAAAAAAAAAATAAAAAAAAATTCAGGAATACATGTAATGTACATGTATACAGTACATGTTTCGTAATTGTTTGTACACCAAGACTGCATCTGGCTTCATCGAATCCGTCTCTTGGAGGACAGCATCACAAGTCAAAAGATGTTTTCAAAACACCCCTCCAAGCAGACAGATTTTTCTTCAGTAGGCTTATTAACACAGCTTTATCATATTAAAACATTTAAACTTGTCTAAAGAAACTGATTTTTTTTCATTTTTATAAGCGGATTGTTAATTGTTTACAATTGTATCAAATTAAAAGAGAATTAAAAAGTCAGATCTAGATCTACAGTGTACATGTATAGATCTAGTCTAACGTTAGATCTAGTCTTTAGCAAAGGGATGCAATTTCAACACTGGATGCATGACAAAACGAAGGTACTTGGTTGGTTGGTCCTCTAAATTACTTGTCTGAGTTTTAACAGGAGGTACGCTGTGCATTTAAAATGAGTTGAAAAAAATCTAATCTTTAATGAATTTGATTTTAATTCTATCAACAGTGACAAAATTAGATCTAGTTCAAGTCACACAATAAAAGCCAAAACAAAAACTAAAGTAAAAGGGTTTTAGTTTTTACAAATGGCCACAGTTCAATGAATCAGAAGACAAGTCACATACTATATTAATAGATCTGTAGAATGTAGGTTCTGTCAAAACAGTAAAATAAGAATTTTGTTAATAAAACTTACATCTTATTCCGCGCCCAATTTTCACCCAACAACTTGCTCTCTGTTCTTCCGCTTTTGCCTTGGCAATTTTCGGATCAATCGCCCTGATTTGACCTCCAACATAAACCTCATTTTCCATGGCTGTCGGGGCATGATCCCCGTCACTGTCTTCGCTGTCATCATCCTCATCTTCGTCATCGTCATATTCTCTTTGAGCAAAGCTACTATGGACCTCTCTCTCCTCTGTTCCCATGTCGAAACCGTCGTTGTCGTTCCAGGCATGTCGAGAATTAGCGCTGCTCGGTCGTCGCATTTCGTCCTCGATTTTATCCATCTCCAGCTCGTCTTTGATCGAGAGTCCTCCGCTGGAGCCAGGTCGCGGTGAGGGTCTCGGAGACGGACTTACCCGTCGACTAGCGCTCATTTTGACGCCTTTTATGACACTTGTTCTGTGACAAAACTATGTCCTAACTCAAGATCATAAAACTCGTTGAATTATAAACTAGTTTTCATGAACAAACAAAGAGCATCACCGCCGAAATGGAACTAGAAAACAGTTCCAAGATCAACGACTCTTCTTTCCCGTGGAGTTTGTCTCTCCAACTTTTGCTTCTCTGAATTGACGTTACGCGAAATAATCTGCATACACCAAATCGTGTGTACATAAATTTACGTGCGCGATTTGTGTGTAGTCGTAGTCTTACTTTTAAAGAATTATTTGTATTACATCACGTGTAGTTCTGGAAGTGTGCTCGGAAAGTAATAAAACCATTTACAAAGGGGCCTGAATTCAAACACTACAACTGATTGATTGCAATGACGTAAGTAGCGGAGTTTTGAGGAGAACTTCATAGCTTTTCCATTTTCCAATATGTTTTTTGTGAGCATCGAGCAACCATGAACATCCAGGAGTATTTTTCACTCATCAATTATGTTGGAGTATGGCGGGGCCGGAGCGCAAATATATATTATCTTTATCGTAGGAAAGCAAGTCAAGTGAAGATATCGATAAGAACAATCGCGTTGCTCATCGAATGATAACCCGAACTCGATCCAACCCACTCCAACTCCAAATTACCATATAATCTTGCCTCTATTATTAAATGTAAAACAGAAATGCATAATTATAATACTATAGAAATCTGGAAAGTGATTATGGCGAAAAATGTAAAAATAGAATAACATAGGCTATTTTTCTTTAAACAACAAAGGACCTTCGATATGGAACTCTTTTCCTCATTATGTTGAAACAATTTCATTATGATTCTTTTTATTCACATACTCTACAAAATAATCAATCCATCCCAACTTTATGCCATAATGTCACTATGCTTTTCTAAGTCTTTCCAAGCTTAGGTATTTCACTAGGCTGGGGACTGCCTCGACTGAACCTTTATTTGGTTCTTTTGCAGTTTCCCATTTCATGTTCATCTATATTTCTTTGCTAAATTTTGTTTTACTCTTGTGTTAACTTCTCTTTATGATTTAGTGTGTAAATTTCAATGCATTATTGTGTATCCTACATGTAATTAGGCCTATGTTTATTGATGTTCAATGTGTGTTCAATGTTTTTTTTTAATGGACCTGAATAAATTAAATTTAATTGAGAAATTTTTTTGAATTGAATTGATACATCTTCTGAATGCAAGAATATATAAGTATTTACCACGATTGTCCTATAATAGAGTAGGGGTAGGCCTACTATTCTCATTCCTTTACCATGCAGGTCCGCTTTCAAGTTTCATGATAAAAAAACGTAAGAGGGTAAGAGGACACTTTTTTTTTTTTTTTTGTCTCAAAAGTTGAAAAATTGACATTTTGCTCCGTTGGGGGGGGGGGGGTAAGGTCACCTTTCTTAGGTCAGCCATGGGGTGATTTTTTTTTTTTTTTTTTAAATAATTTTTAATTTTTTTTTAAAAAAACCAAAGGGGGGGGGGGGGGTTTAGGGATTTTTTATGGGGGTTTACACACATAAAAATACCAAAGGGGGGATTTAACCCCCCCCCCCCCCCCCTGCGTACGCGCCTGGCTCAGCCAGGGTTAGAATCTCTGTAATTAAGTGAACAGCCTTTGGCTGAAGTGGGTGCCGTGCAAATATTATCAAATAAACTGATCTATTGACATGTGCTGGCATGGTTAAAAATCAGTTTAAACAAACTTACAATAAAGAAATGTTCTACTAAATTGAGTTGGATGATTAATAACTAACAATTACCTAAAATATTTCATCATATACAAAAAAAATTGAGTAAGAGAGAGAGAGAGAGAGAGAGAGAGATGAGAGAGATGTACATGTCTGTAGGGGACCCCACTGGAAATAAGCTCTCGAGCTTTCGTGGGTTATCCTGTTCAAACTGACTCAATTTTGATCTGTTCTCATTGTATATTGTTGTATGTTGGAAGCTTGTCGAATAAAAATCAATCAATCAATCAGAGAGAGAGAAAATACTAAGAAAGAGACATTGACATAGCAGCTATAACTGAGACATGGCAAACGCCTGATATATCAGATGAACAGTTGTCGATAAATAATTACTTGACATTCACGGATTATCGCCATACACGGCGTGGTGGGGGAGTAGCATTGTATGTTCAGAAAGATATACCGATATTTCCCCTTACCATGATATATGTTCCTTCTGAATATGAATTTGAATGTGTCTGGTTGAGGATACGACCGCATAGATTACCTAGATGTATATCAAGTATCATTGTATGTGTAGTGTATATCCCACCAGGATCCCCTCATCACACAGCCCTGATTGATCACATAACCAATTCAATTGATGTTTTAGGCACTATGTATGTAGACTGTGGATTTGTTATTTTGGGAGATTTTAACCGGGTAGATGTAGACCCTTTGTTGAGAGTACATGGACTCAAACAAATGGTAGATAAGCCAACTAGAGGTGAGGCGATTCTTGATTTGATATTGACCAATATGAAAAAACACTACATGTCAGCCGCCATTGAGTCTCCTCTGGGAATGAGTGACCATAACACGGTGATATGGACTGCAAAGAATAGAACAAAGGCTCCCAACAAGGTACTCAAGAAAACATCACGTCCAATGACATATCAAGGGATCCACGAGTTTGGAAGGTGGGTTACATCCCAATCTTGGCAGGAAGTCCTTTCCGTACCAGAAACGGAATCAAAAGCAAACGCTTTTTATACATTGATCCAAGGAGCAGTAAATAAATACTTTCCTCGTAGATCAGTCAAACTGCACAGTGCTGACAAGCCTTGGATGACCGCACGAGTGAAAGAAACCATCAAGATGCGTCAGGAAGCGTTTGCCCAAGGTTCCTTAACCGAATGGAAGCGCTACAAGAAATTGGCCAGCAACCAAATCAAACAGGCTCAGGAGAACTTCTATGACAACTCCTTAGCAGGGCTAAGATCTTCAGACCCCTCGGAGTGGCATAGTGGCATTCAGCTCCTCGCCAATAAGATCAAAGAACGCTCTCCTATATCTGTGCCAACGCTCCCTGAAGCCAGTGATGAGGAAATAGCTAATGCCATTAACCAGGAATTTTCATCTACATCACAGGGTCGACTGCCTCTAAGTACTTCCGACCTTCCGACATATCTTCCTTCTCTAGAGCCTCCACAGGTCAAAGTGTGGGAGATGTATTGGGAGCTGAACAGGATCAACATTAAGAAAGCCATCGGCCCTGATGACTTGCCAAACAGAGTTCTCAAGGAATTTGCTTGCGAGATCAGCATACCCATGACAGACATTTTCAACTCCTCTCTCAGGGAAGGCAAGGTCCCTCAGATCTGGAAAGACGCAGATGTTGTTCCCGTGCCAAAAGAGAAACCTCCTGTCATCACAAAACTCAGGCCTGTGTCACTAACATCCCAATGTGCGAAAGTTTGTGAGGGATTCGTGGCTAAATGGATCCAACATGACATGGGGCCAAATATTGAACGACATCAGTATGGAAGCCTCAAAGGCTCATCAACCACACACTGTTTGATTGAAATGATGAATCAATTCTACAAGGAATCAGACAAACAGGATTTTGTAGGAAATCTTGTGGTCACAGATTTCTCGAAGGCGTTCGACACGGTAGACCACACCGTGGTTGTAACTAAGCTCTTAAATATGGGAGTCCGTCCGGAAATCATCCCGTGGATCGCCGACTTTTTAACGAATAGGCACCAGAGAGTAAAATACCAAAGCGCTATCTCCTCCTGGAAGAAACTAACCTGTGGCGTTCCCCAAGGAACAAAGATCGGCCCCCTAGCCTTTCTAGCAGTCATCAATGACGCACTGGAGTCGACAGAGTTGCATACATGGAAGTATGTAGACGATCTTAGTATCGGCGAGACCAAGACCGTCAATGAGCCTTCTCACCTGCAGGAAGCTGTCAACGACCTGGTGCAATGGGCTGACCAAAACTACTTGAAACTAAATGCAGCTAAATGTAAACAACTGCAGTTTTGCTTCAAGAGAACCAAACCAGCACCCCCAGACATATCTCTAGACCCGAATGTTTTGGAGGTGGTCAATGAAACGAAAATCCTCGGTGTCTGGGTTCAAGGTGACCTAAAATGGGACAAACAAGTCAAAGAAATGATGTCGAAGAGCAAGAAACGGGTACATATACTGAGCAGACTGAAGAGATTTCGAATCCCACGAGAAGATCTAGTTGCCGTATACAAGTCCTACGTCCGGCCAGCTCTGGAATACGCAGCACCGGTGTGGCACCCTGGACTCACAAAGCTGCAGACTAGTGCACTGGAAAAAATCCAAAAGAGGGCGATGAGGATTGTACTTGGAGCTGAACTCACTTACACAACTGCTCTCAAAGAAGCTTCAATAGAAACATTAGAAGAAAGAAGGCATGACCTATGTACAAAGTTTGCCGAAGCATGTGTACGTTCCCATATATACTCGAATGTGTTCCCTCTCAACGACACAACTCATTCCATGCAGCTCAGGACCAGCCGAACGTACAAATCTATCAATGCCAGGACAAAAAGATATCAGAATAGCTCCATTCCATTTCTGACAACTTGCCTAAATGAATAATGCCAAGGTTGTATAAAAGGGGTGAATAGAGAACAATGTACGCATAACTCTTTTTGACGAAACCGGTGTCACTATTTATTTAATTATTATTATCGATATATATTTTGAAATCAGAACATATTTCTCATATAATTATATTTCCAGGGGCATAATTGATTATCGAAGCATGAACATGGGTATTACGCATAACATTACAGGTATCAACAACGTTATTTTTTGTTCAATTAAGCACTCAAATACCTTATCAATGACTTCTTTACCCAATCTCTACTGAATGTTGCAAAACCAAATTAGATAATATTATTAATGCAAATATTGTTGTTGTATATATATATATACATTGAATTATTTTTAATGCTAATATTGTGAATTGTCACTAGAAAGTGATCTAACTATTGATGACAATTCATTGTCTTTACTAATTATATGGTATTTTAACTAGTAGTATATTTGAAACAATTGTGAAAGAAATATGATATGTTTTTAATTGTAAATTGTCATGCAATTCAGCCCAGGCTGCGAAATGATGATATTAATAAACTGAACTGAACTGAACTGAAAACTCAAATTTTGTTAGAATGGAAATGT